AACCAAATGAAAAAAAGGTTTTGTGAGACTTGATAATGGGGGTTCGGAGATGATCTCCATCTGACTGAGCTTGATCGATTTTGGAAAGAGAAATGGGCAACAATTTCAGCCAATAGATGTACGGAGCTGGTAGAGATGTACTCTTGCAGCTGTAATTGCAGCAATATTAGATTTTTGTTTTTTTATATAAATCAATTTACGCTGTCTGATGTTAATAAAGCAGCAAGAAACATGAAAAGTTGTTTTTAATTGATGAAATATTTGAAAACCCTTTTATTCCCTTTCACTTCACAATAAGGTAAAACTAAATGAAACAATAAAAAAAAAAACAAGATGTGACCGTTTGAGAAGTATGGCTATGTTTGGCGAGACGTTCATTTTAAATGATGTCATGTAACGGGTGTAACAAAAATCTGATATAGCTGTGTCTGGTTGGCAGGCTTTTAATTCAAACAGAAGGAAATTGAAGTGGGAAGTATGAAGAGGTTCTGTTAAAAAGGAGGAGGTGGAAACGATAAAAAGAATAATAGCTCTTGGTTTGTGTTTTGGTTCTTCGCATTCATGATGTGTGCGCCCATCAAGGGAGGATGCTTTGAAGTGTACGCAGATCCTCCAAGCTGCAAGAAGAGAATTAGGCTGTTGGTTGAAGGCCCTTGTCTCTTTTATTTCCAGCCTTCCCTTACCTGCTTCCCTTCCTGCTCTTAATTATTTAGTCTGTCCTGCCTCTTCTTTGGTCTGTGCTGCCTCAACGATGAAGAGAAGGAGATGGAGGGGGCGCCAGGGGGAGGTGGGGGTAGATGTAGTGCAGCTCTGTTGCTTAGCAGTAGAGTATCACTGTGATCACCCCACCACCACCATTACCTCTCTGATGATTGAATAGGCTGTGACACTACAGCTGTATTAAGTGTGGTTCTGTTCCCCAGGCTGAGTGGGCTGCTATTGATTGGCCTAGTCTTGTAGGGGAGAGTAATGGCTCTCCGAGGTGAGGCGGGGGGATTAGGCCACTAATTGCTATTGTGCAGACGAGATATGACTGCCCCCACCCCACCCGTCTACCACTCACCCATCTGCACCCCTTATCTCTTCTTTCCTCTCTGCTCTATCTCTTATCTCACTCTTCTTTTTTCTTATCTTTTCCCGTCTCTTATAATTTTCCATTTTCTTGTCTTTTCACACATCACCAGCATTTCTTCATTACACTTTTTTATTCATGTTGTCCTCTGCCAGTCTCGCCACCCAGCCACTACTGCAACGATATTTTAATTTATTTTTTTTTTTTAAACGGCCCTCGATGCCATCATGAATCCATTGTAATATGTGATGCTTTTATTGTGAATAAGGAGCGTAAAATCCTCCTGTGTCTTAACACCAACTACCGTGAGCTAAAGTTGTCTGATATTATGGTTATGTTGCCATAGAAACTAAAGCAGGGAAGAAATTTGGATAAAAGGCAGACCTGGAACTGGCCTGGGGTTTCTCTTGGTTATAGATGTAAAGTAAAAGTGCGCTGTTACACAAAATAGTGCTACCGGCTCACCAAAGCACTCGTCTCTCATCGTCCTTTTGGCATCACCATCGCTCCAAGACGGTTGTGACCCAGTTTGACTGGCAATGCTTTACTTAATTTGAGAGTAGGTGATATACTGCTGCATATTATGCCATCATGAAAGGGGGGGGGGCTTTTATGAGAACAAAGATAGCATTATCAGTTAAAGAAAAGAAAAACAGCTGGAAGATGGGAACTTCACTTAAGACAGAAGGATAGAAATGCAGTAAAACGAGAATGGGGTTGTGAGCAACATTCAGTTAAAAAGTTACCAGAGGTTAAGGTGGTTTTAGTTTCCAGGATGAAGTTTAAACAAAGGCATGTAAAAGTGGGGACAACATACTAGAGCTGTAGTAGCCAGAGAGAGAGAGAAAGGGAGATGTGTTGAAAGTGAGGCATCTGACCAGTCTGTGACCCCGCGCTACAGGGTTTCCCTGGAGGGCTTTGTTAATGTGGCACGGCTACATCACAGCAGAGGAGCTCATTGGACTAGCATTTCACCACCTGCTGTGCTTGTATATGTATAGAGAACAAGATGGGAGGGGGGGCGACGTATGTGCCTCTAAGCTCCACATTCAAGCAGAAGGTTCTTATACTTTTATCTCCTGTAAATCCTGATCAATGCCTCTGTAATAACCTCAGCTATGCATCCATGCAAAGTACCTTGCACAATAATACCATTAAACTTAGCTAACTTAGGTCAAATTACAACCAAAAGCTTCAATACAAGGTTTTATGTCAAACACACAAAGTACCACATATGTGTTAAGGAGAAGAAAATGGATAATTGTTTTTTTTTTTTTTTTTTTTCAAATGAAAATCTGTACATTGTGACATGTATACACATTCCAGCTGGCTTCAGCGCTCATCTAATTAATGAATAGAGCCCCACAGTGTGTAATTTGATCTTTGCGTCGATGCAGCCATTCTGTGAAGATATCAGAGGTTTTTAAGAGAACATTGGTGAACAAAGCATCACGAAGTTTAGAGCTTGGTAGACGTGTAAAAGGTCAAAAAATAAATAAATGAAACTTTGTGTTTAGAGAGAATGACGATAGAGTGAACAGAGTTGCATGGAGTTGGCACAATGCAGTTCATCAACTCCAGAGAAGATGTCATGACCATAGATAAAGGTCTCTAAAATAAATGGCGATGGGCATGGCTGGAGGAGACAGGGCGAGATGACAAGCCATTTAGCAGCTGGTGCAGCCAGTTAGGTGAACCAGGCCCTTGTTTCTTGCTTCTGCACACTGTGCTCCAAGAACGCTTAGCAGCAAAAATGGATATCTAAAGAAATGTGGTACATGCAAGTGGTAGGTATAAATGCACTTTTGCCATCTTCTTGCCGTTTTTGGTATTGTTTTCAAAAGTCAAATTTAGTCTTCAATCATTCATGCAATCTCTGATCCCACGCCCCCCCTACCCCCTAGCATGGCTTGAAAATACACACACATATATATAGCTCACGTATTCACTCTCCGATTGTCTAGCAGGTTTAAACTGAGGACCAACACACGGATTAGGACATGAAAAAGTCCGATTTCTGGGTGATGACATCTTTCAAGAGTTCATGGGAAATTTGATAAATGTGAATTTCCCCCTTATACACTTTAAGGTCGGGGAATTCCTTAAAAGCCTGACAGGCCTTACATCGATTGTCCTACTCAAACACCTGAGATCACTATGCTACTTTAATTTGTTGTCACTCTCTCCCTTCTTAGCTGTCATCTTAGGTGACCTTCTTTTGTCTCCAGACTTTTATCCCTGCTTTGCTTCCCTGCTTAATATATTTTTCTGTTTAATAAAACATGGCTTAAAGGAGTAAATTATCAAACTTCTGAGGGTAACTTTCGAGCTAAATTTTGTCATATTTTCCTCACAAAAAACATGATTTACTACTCATTGTTAATCTTTCTCTAGAGGTCACCATAGCTGTATCTGTGATGGTTCTTTTTCTTCTGTCTTCATGCTTTTCCTGTTCTCAGCCTTTTCTGTTGGATCTCTCTTCATTGGAACAAGCTTGCTGACCTCAAATTCCCTAAAAAGTTTAACTTCTCTCTTGTTCTATCCTCTCTTCTTTCCCTGACCCCTTTCTCTTATGATGTAGTCGCTTTCTGAAAGTCCCTCCATTCCTCTAAATGCTGTATCATCCCTTCTCCATTATCTTTAGCCATCTTCTTTTTTGCTAATTCATGTTAGGGCTCCTGTGTGACGGACATCCTCCTTGTGACCGCCTCAAAGTTGATGTTTAATAAGACTGGCTTATAGTAGCTTCAGCAATGTAGTTTTTCACAAAAAGATCAGCTTATTTCACTATTGTTATTTTAAGCCACGGATATACTCTGAGCTACTTAGTAACATTGCTGCCTCTGACAAAATGTCTATAGATCGTATATTATATGTTATGCATATACCAAAAACTCCTTAAACCATATGTTGATGCTAAAAATGAGCCAATATATCCCAGGTATTCACCCTGATAGTGTTTAATTGGTCCGTTTAGCCTGAAAATATATATATTTTGATCCGGGTGATCAGCAGACATGCTGCTTCTTCTATAAACTCCAATGTTCATATTAGATTCCAAGTGTTTTTCGTGTCCCATCCTTCTTGGTGTCAAATAATTTTGTGCTGTTTTAAATCTTCTTCTTGGACTTTTCCTAGTTTACAAAAGATTAAACCAAAGTGTAAAACGCAGCAATAAAATATGTCAACAGGGCACCATAATAAATTCCTTTGTATGCAATCAAAAGGAAGTACTGGTGTAGAAAGAGTATGTAGCGAGAGATTTTCTACTTTTTATGGCTCAGATGCAAGCATTCATGTGCTGTATGTGTGTTTATAAATATATCTAATTATGTATATCAACTACTTTACATGTAAATGTATCATATAGTTTGCAATTTAAATTCAAAATAAATCTGGAGCTAAAATGGATTGATTTGATTCAAAGTGTATTTATGTTGTAGAACTGTGAAGTCAGACATAAAACCCATATTTGTTCTGATACTTAAGCATTTCTGTTAACAAATGCTCTCTAACCAATGTGATTGAGCCTTTTTTTCTCAAAGAACCTCATTCATTTCTGTCTCTCAATTTGCAGACATACAACATACTCCAATCCCTCCTTGCTGTAATTGCATTGAAATGTGCTTGCACTATTGAGCTGAATATATTTGCAAATCTCACTTTTTAGATTTCTATTTTAATAAACTCTTTTCAGTTCATAATTACACACTCCTTGATTTCCATTTATCCCATTAACTTTTGTCCTATGAGCTATTATAACTTGCCTGAACATGAAGAGATTCAAGTGATATTATTATGGATATTTTATGAGAAACAATATGTGCTTGGGTGTAATTTGCTTCAATCTGCCTTTTCTTTTCTAGAAACATGTCTGCATCTAATATCTTTGACGTTATTCATTTTGTTATGTTTTTTTTGTCCCCAGCTGCGTCGTCCATCAGCAGCGAATCGTCTCCAGTCTCATCTCCTGCCACCAACCACAGCTCTCCAGTCAGTACACCCAAGAGGGGTCCTCTTGGTCCAGGACCTGTGCTGGTTCCCCCAGTGGGTCACAGTGTGCCAAACACTCCACCTGTCGTAACCATAGCTCCGACAAAGACCAGCAACGGCCTGTGGAGGAACGAGGGACGGCAGGTAAAATCATGCTTAAAAGCCACACTTACCAACATTAATTGCATCATGTTTATTTGGTCTTTCTTTGTTTCTTTTGCCCTTTTTCTCTGCTGTTTACTGGAGTGTTCAAAGGTTCTCATTGTTCAGGTTTCCTCAAAGCACAAGTTACATACAGTGCATCCAGATGGACTTTTTGGGCATCAGTGGATTAGGTTGCTGGCTTGGAGCTCTTATGTGTCAGTATACACTTGACATATGTGTCTGTGACATAGCTGGCAGGTTTATGAGTGTAGCTCCACCAACCCACTGACTACACACATTAAACAATGCCAGCTGCTGCTGGGACAGTGAGGTGATGGCAACAACGGCAGCTGTGCTCCATAGGCCTCCTACCTTTCTGTCTTTGGATTAGTCTCTCCCTAGTCTTGGAGTTAAAGGGAACACCGGGTTTTTTACATTGGGCCCTTGATTTTACGTTATTACATCATGTTCTACTCACCCATATGAGTTTTATATTATATTTATATCCAAGTAACGTCCTCCAATGGGCAAACGACTTGAAGGCACAAACTAAACTGTTCATAATTTATTCTTTATGGTACGCCAGCATTCATAACATGTAGGCGAATCACTGTCTCCCAGACATCCGTGGTTATATTTTTTATATTTTTATTTTTTAAAACAAAGCGGAATATCTTCAGAACAGCTCCAAATGACACAAAACTCAAATTGGTGAGTAGAACATGGTGTAATAACATAAAATCAAGGGCCCAATGTGGAAAAAAAACAGCGTTCCCCTTTAAGAGCCCTCCATTCTAACCCGCGGTTCGACTGGAGGGCTTTCTCCTCAGCAGTCGGATGCAACCTCTGCCTCATTTTAGTTGTGTCGTGAAGGAGAGAGAAAGTGGGAGAGCTGCTTGCTTTGATAAGGAGTGGATTATGGATTATGGCCTGGTTTTAAGCCTTCTTATCTCAGCTAAGGGCTAATGGTTGAGGCCAAGTGCACGGTTAGGAACAACACTCGGCAACATGCAGAAATTCTCTGAGACACTTAGAAGATTCCCTAGGGACAGACAGAAGGGGGGTACTGATGGGTGGGCGAAGACGTCAGTCAGCAGCGATGTGTGGTAGCATTCAGGCCTTTGTCCTCCCTCCTGAATACCCCATGAACCTTGCAATCTGTAACTACAGCTTTGTCAAATTGACCCGTCTGCAGTTCAGAGGTCAGTCAGTGCAAGGAAGGATGATGCTGTTCTCAGAGAGAATGCATCCTAGCATAGCAGCGTGGAAGTTTCATGTTGCAGAAGTAAAAATATGGCACCAGATGCTTCCTCCATATCTCTGCTGCATATAGAGCTTCTGTTTCTCAATCGTATGCATGTCTGTGTGCTTTTGCACAGTGGCTGTGATAGTGTGTCCATGAGGTCATACTCAGACTGCAGAGGTCAGTTCACTGGGTTCGCACTGCATCTAAAGCGGTTGAAGGCCAGATTGCTAAAGAATGAGAGGGTTAAGATGGTAGCACGAGGTTAGAATGAGGGGTCAGAGGTTGGAGGGGAACAGCAGGGGGAATGCGTCATGAAAGCAGGCCTCATGGCATCTCTAACATTTCAACTGCAGCCATGAAGTGAGCCTCTGGACTATAAAAGCCACTCAGACAAACACAGAAGATATTTTTCCAAAAAGATGATAGTTTAACAGGCTTTTATAATACAGGGGAGCAGTCAGTGGTCACAAATGGAGACAGGGTCTCATTCAGAGGCATAAGTATGTTGTCTGCATCCCTTCTAAAGTGTTTGAGAAACACATTTTTTTTTTGTCTGGGCAAAAAAAAATGTTTGTCTCCTCCTTTGTGCATTAGAGGGGTATTTTACTGTCTCTGTGGCTGAGATATGATTCTGTCTTTCAGGGTGGGGGTGATGGGCAGCACTGTGAAGTAGGGAGGCCTTGGTGCATTGGCATTTTGCTTTAATGACTGCGGGAGTCTGCTCCCGCTGCTGCCTGTAATTGCTTTATAATTGGCAATTTGGATTCATGGCTCCATCTGAGAGGCATAAACGAGCACTCTACAATGCGCGGGGTCTCCCACCCTCGCTAAGGGTTACAGGGGCCTGGCTGGCACAGAGGAAGATGTTTGTTAATGGATGTGTCTTTGGAGTTTAAGTGCATGTGCTATTTAGTGTGTGCAGATGGATGGGCTACTGGTGAGTAGTGCATTTTCAGTCAGGAAGAACCTTAAAATGGCATGGCTGTTTGAAAGTGTGGGTGCCTGAGGCACTAAGTGCTGTGGGTCTTATCAGAGGCCTGACCTATTACACCTGCACCTTTCAAATACCCCTCTGTGACTGAATACATGCATTCATGTAGATTCCCACGACTATGATCAGAGATCAGAAATAAACCGAGGTATGTTTTAAGGAGAGGTCATAGCTATGCCTGGGTTGGTTGTTTGTACTAAAGGATACCCAGGTTTTAAAGTGTATGCATGTAGTATAAAATAACACTCATGCTAAGGAGGGGAGATTGCTTCAAAGTTTACAACTCATTGCAATTACCGGCTGTTCCATCATTTTTCTAATTCCTCTGTTAAACTGGACCTTTTTTATATAATTATTATTTCCTTATTTATTTCCTTTATGTATATTAGAAAACAAGTATCATCAATTGGAGCTTTAGCAATAGACTGAATTAAAAATGTATTTATCTGCTTTTAAGCAGCATATTTATATTTCGTATTTATTTTACTCTAATTAACAAAATGCAATTAGAAAAATACTGGTAAGGAAGCTGCAAGTGGCTAGTTACATGAGCACAATTTTATTACTCCATAGAGTGCAGTGTGTGTATTAATTAGGGCTGAAACAATTAATTGGATTAATCAATTATTGAAATAATTGTCAACTAATTTAGTAATCGATGAATCTTTAACTGGAGTATAGAGACTCCAAAACATGCCTTTGGCTGATAGAGAGATTTAGTTTAACCTGGTTCAATTTCAATAAAAAATCTTGTTAGGAACATTTGGCTATCCGATTATTAATCGAAAAAATAAATGACAGATTAATCAATTTGCTAAATAATTGTTAACTGCAGCATATTAATATGAAAATACCTTTGAAAATATGTTGTACAGGATTTTTAATATAAACACAAAAAAAAAACTTTCATTCACTTGGAAATACAATTTCATGTTGTTTTAAATTAAGGAATTTAGATTACAGTTAAGCATCTGAGTTTCCCATTTTTACTAAGGATAATATTGTGAGAATCGTCCCAACTAATGCCTCGTTACGGTCATCACAGGGATTTACTTGCTCTCAGTAGACATTGAATTTGTCAAAACAAGAAATCAAACCAATTCTGTTGCTGATGTGCAGCAACAACAGCTTAATTATTGCTGCTGCATCTTCTTATAAGATTTGTGTGAAATTAGTTAGAATGGGATGCTTGATTTAATTTCAGTGGCCTTCTGCGTCTGGAGATTGGTCCAATTGAGAGTAATTACATCACGGCGATGGTGGTGAAAAGGTGTCTCAGTGACACACACACTTCATCTGAAAACAGCTTCCACTTTCCTCATGCATACCGGCTGCTGGTTAGCAGTTAGTCAGAGGTCATGACCTCATCACTAGTGGGCAGTAGGGTTTTAATTCATGTCTGTTTTGATGCATTTTTTTTTACAGCAGTTTAATCAATAGTGTATATGTGAATAGAATAGAATAAAAGGGAAACTTAATGTGATATCTGTGCATCTGTCCTAAACTTAGCTTTTTTCATGAATTGCAGCCTCCTGTGTTTCTAAAGAACATGCTGTTTTCAAGTCACAGTCCATTAGGTATGAATCAGTATCCAGCTCTGACATTATGATAACCATGAGGAAAAAAAACACTATTTTTTACAGAAAATCTAAAATGCAGCTGTGCAATCTACAAGTTTCTTTTTAAAATGCATGCCTACTGCTACAACATATTTCAACATCTCTTTTGCATAGAGCTGCACAGTATGTGTGTATGTATCACTACTAGCGCTAGAATGTAGTGAACTTTACCCTGATGTCCAGGTGACCCGTCATAGGTGACCTAATCTTATTCACACAGAGCTTCAGGTCAATCACAGGGTAATGAATTGCATTTAATAGGACATTCATTAGCAAATACTAATTATTAAATCATAGGCACCCTAGTTTCATAGGCAGCAAACCTGTTGGAGTAAATAGCTGCATTAGAGAGGAGAACAGCAGGGCATGTTTAATGCGGGGTGGCAACTCCAAAAGGTTGGACTTACTGCATTAGACTGCTGGAAAGTACGGAGAGGGTTTAAACAAAGGGTCATGTTAGGAGTCTGACCATTAGAGGCATTTAAGATTGGATGTTGGCGCATCAGTGTCAGCCTGGGTCAGTAGCTGTGGAGTTAATGGTTCAGTAAATGGGATTTGTTTTATCAGAGAGAGTGGTGAGAAAGGCAGCAGTGCTGCTGTAAGGTCTTGTTCTTCTCCCAGGGAACCCAGAGGTTAATTTAGTGGGTTCAAGAACTGCTAACTCCTTCGGCTCTCTGTCTTTATGGCCTCATCTTGATCTTTCTTGTCTCCCCTTTTCCTTCTCTTCCTACTTGTTCTCCTGCCAATTTCAATTCTGGTTTTGAAAGCTGTGTGATAAATGTGTCTTCTTTCCCAGGATAAACCTTGACTGTAATTCGTCTTTTGAGCAATTTCCTTATATAACTTAGAAAGACTGTAAAATTCTCTTAAATGCTCTTGTGTTTTCAGGCCGAGGAAAACCAAAGCTTCAGAAAACGCACTCCCACTCCCACAGCGGGATGTCTTTTGTAGCCCTAAACACTGTGCGTGCCTGCTGAGTGTGTTTGTGTGTGTGTGTGTGTGTTTGTTGTGGGATTGAAGAAGTGAGACATGGCTTGCTGCCAAAAGAAAAGGAGGAAGGAAGGGAGGTGAAAGAAATAAGGGAAGAGACAGGAATGGGAGTTTAGGGGTGTAGCTTTTTGGACTTTGTTGTGCACACTGTCACAGACATTCTTTATCTTCGTTGAAGGTCATCCTCACCAGCAGCATCACTGTCATGTCAGCTACTGATCAGAATTAGTTCACCTCTACCCACTTTCTTCTACTGCTTTACATTGCAATGATTATTAGAACTGTTATGCTGCCTGTTTCAAAAGAGGATGCTGTGTAAGGAATTGTACAAAAGCGCCTGAGGTAGGGAGATGAGGCGAAGGAGGCTGCCACCCCACAAACAGGCCTATTATTTTTTCTATCTCCCCACTCAAAGGGCAGGCTGCACTAGCAGTGACAACCGTGACGGTCACAGGTCCCAACGAACAATAACCAAGACTCTTTCCTTGTATCTCCCTGCAGGCTGACTCGGGGCCCCGTGGGGCCAGCAGGGAACGTTTGGGTGCAGAGGGGACCTTCTCCCAGGAGAAAGGTGGCCCCTCAGTCCCTGCTCACCTCCTGGGAAACCCCTATGCCTTTGGTCTCACCCCTGGTGCTGTCATGCAGGATTCACGGTTTCCCCCCCTTAAGTGAGTAAAACACTTTTTTTTTCCTTTTATCAATTTGCTAAATCTGCATTTTATAATAGCACGTTGCAGTAGCAGCTCAGTTGGATGGTGTGATCAATAGTGTTCCTGTATATCAGGCTCTCTAGAATACCGTAAGCAACAACAGCCCACATTCATCTTTTTTGACGTCAGTGCTGAGAGGCAATTAGTTTATGTTGTTTCTTATGGAATTCTGATGAATTTACACAATTCTAAGCAGAGGAAATCAAACAAACCTTATTTCCCTGCTGTGCCTCACTGATCCCTCCATCCCCTCCAGCCTGCCCAGACAGTTGCCTAATGCGGTGCCTCCTGGTGCTGTACCAGAGGAGTACATCCGGAGTTTTCGGCCCTATGCCACTGCAGAGGATCCACTCAGGATGCAGTCTCTGCCTTTGGGCCTAGACCCTGCAGCAGCTGCTGCTGCAGCGGCGTACTACCACCCCAGCTACCTTCCCCACCCGTCCTTCACACCGTACAGGTAAGCCTCTATATAATCTTTTTGTTGCCTTTGCAGTTTCTGTTGGTGGATAATTTTGCAAAATCAAAATATTACATTGTATTGTATATTATTGATGTCTAATAGAAAACTTGAAAAAGACCAATTTTTTATCACACAATAGTGAATTAGACTGAGTTATCCAGCAGAAAACTGTTGACATCCTTCATAAGGAGGAAAAACAATAAAAGGTGTCCTATAAAAGCTGCCTGGTCATGGGGCGCTTTATCCGAATAAATTAATGGGAGGTTAACTGAAGGGGGGGAAAAAACTCCAATGTGAGAAATACATGAGCAGCATGGTTAACATAACGCTTTGGAGCTGGTATGCTTGGATATAAGCAGCACTTGAAGTATTGTGAGATTTCTACTAAGTCATTTCTAAACCAGAGACTAATTCAAAGTTGATTCTGAATTGAGAATCAAGGCCTCAAAGTTGGGAAGTAAAGTGGAAAAGCACAGAATTCAAACTCCTTTAAAGACTAGAGTGAAGTTTCCTTAGTCAGTGATGATTTTTGGAGATATTTCATTCGGTAACGTTGGTCCACAGTGTCCATTTCATTCTTCCCATTCTTGACATTCTTAATGTCGGTTTTACCTTACAGCAGGGCTTGACTCTTGGCCATACACCCAAAAGTATAAGTAAAAGGCCTGTGTTTGATAAATAAACCCTTTGGGGGGTTTTCTGGTGGAAGCTGAGAGATGACGTTGCACTTAGACATCAGGTTCTAGCGCAAGATGACAAACAAGCAAAGATTTCTTTTAAAAACTGAAGATCACTCTATTCTGGCACTGAGCCGTTTGGTACACAGCCCACTAAGTCCAAAATGATGGTTGAACTCAACCTCAGTAGATAAGCTGATGTTAAAAATGTATTTGAATATTTCTTGGTACCGTAACAGATAAAGGGAGAAATAAAGATTATTAGATCACTGTCAGTCTCTTGAGGCAGTGGGGATGACATTTAGGTATTTCCTCTATGTCTAAATGTCATACCCAGCTTTAAGACAAGAAGACCAAGTGTATTATCAAGTGAATCGGTGGAGGTTTGCATGAAAGCAACATTACCATTAAATACTTGGTTAAAGTTTTTTAATGAATAGAGGTGTTAACTATATTCACACTTTTGTTTGAAGAATGCCTTAAAAAAGAGCTGCACACTTCATCAAATCACAGTCGCTTAATGTAGCATTAGCATGAGCCACATCCCAGAGGACTGAAGTGGAAATATAATACTTTATTAATTAATATATTTAAGGACTGCCCTTTATGCTCATACCTGATAAAATGTTAGCTTTTGAAAAGTGGCTTCATTTCAAAAATGAAAAAGAAAATATGAATGAACTGTAACCAGGTTAATCATTGCAATAATTCAATGTGTTTTAATGAAATGCTTTTTTCAGAGGCCTGTGCAGCAACACAGGACAGTTTATATGTAGTTTAGACATGATTGTGTGTATGATGAGAAGGACTCTTCTTGCTTTAGGCTCTAACACTGGCTAGATGACAGCACCTAGTCTGTGATCTAACATCATAGGAGCGCAGCAGCCATCACACATGCTCCTCTATAATGGATTTAATGAGGGGTGGGTTGAGGATGTCGCACACGTACACAGAAGCTGTGCATCAACATACAGCGCTGTCTTTTCCTGTCTCGTCTTTGGTGATGGAGCTTAGCTGACAGTTACTGCTCCCTTCTGGAAAAGATGGAAGACCCAGTGATGTCGCCTCTTTGGGAGAGGGAGGCACACAGGTTAATGAAAGTGAACAGAGCTCTGTCACATGAGGAGACTGACTATCTTTTTTTCTCTCCTTTTTTGTAATCCTCGTTTCCCAGGATGGATGACCCGTTCTGCCTCTCTGCTTTAAGGTCACCTTTCTATCCACTGCCAGCAGGGGGAGCCTTACCCCCCATTCATCCTTCTGCTGTTCACATGCACCTACCAGGCGTCCGCTACCCTGGAGATTTTGCACACCCGTCATTGTCAGCTCTGCAGTCTGAGAGGTAAAGTCCCCCTTGGTAAATGCATAAAGCATTTCAGCACCTATGTTTTCTTCTTTTAATTTTGCTGACATCCTTTTGTTTCGCTTTTTCAATTTATTTTTTCCAGACTCCAGCTAGAAGATGAGCTGCGGCAGCGTGAGAGGGAACGTGAACGTGAACGAGAACGAGAGCGGGAAAAAGAGAGGGAGCGTGAGGCAGAGAGGGAGAAGGAACGCGAGAGGGAACGGGAGCGTGAGCGTGAACGAGAAAAAGAGCTGGAGAGGGAGAGGGAACGGGAGCGCGAGAGAGAGCGGGAGAAGGAGAAGGAAAGGGAGAAGGAGCTGGAGAGGCAGAGGGAGAGAGCTCTGAGGGAGAAGGAGCTGCAGGCATCCAAGGCCATGGATAACCTCTACATGGCTGAGCTCCACACAATGAGAGGACAGGAGGAACGAAGCAAGCCTGAGAGGCTAACCCCTAATCGGGCTGGTATGTTTCCATGCTCCCTATGATGCTTCCAAAAGCTACAGTCTTATTGATTTACTGTCACTGAAACAGCAAAAGTTTTCACCAAATTTATCTTTAATCTTTTCTGATGACTGTTGGGTAGACTGACCTCCACACTGCTAGCCATAAGGAAAAAAAAATCAGACAATAGATGGGCTTGTCAATTTTTCAACAAATAATTCGTACAGATTTATTACTGAATGCTCAGGGTCCCACATGCTAGAACTTACTTTTAAAAATGGAACTTGCACCTCTTCATCTCACCAGGTACAACAAAATACAAAGCACATGCAGGATGTAAATGGCCGCAGCAGATGGCTTCACCTACTAAGACTGTACCTGGGTTCTATTGGAGATTTCTTTCTGTAGAACAGGAGTTCTTATCTTATATATATGGTTCATCTTTTTACAAATACTCTTTAAAAAAATGTAGGTCTTATATAAAAGATGATTTAAAAATAGATAAAAGAGCAAATTCACCCTTAGTCATAAAAAAGCAAATCATCAGGTTAGAAGAAAACTATGAAGAAAGCTATGACCTGCTAACCTGACTCCGCCAGATGGATTTGCTCCGCATATCCATCTGGAAACCTTCCGTTGAAGTAATTTTGGGAAGGGGTGAAAATACTGGTTAGCTGATTGGCCTATGTTTGTGATAGACGGGCCAAATAAACCAATCAGATCAACGACGCATATGACGTACTAACAGACCGACGACGAAAACACAGCCACAAGCCAGGCTAACTCTTGCCGAAACCAGTCGGGAGAAGAGCAAAAACATCTTTTCCTCTGAGAAAAGCCTCCAGAGCAGTGTTTTGCTCTTCTTTCAGTGAAGAAATACTCTGTAATTCCGATAAAACTTGCTCGATAGCCACGCTAACGCTAGTTTCATCTGTCGCGCTTCTCGTTGGATCACACCTCAACCCGCCTCAAAGCCAACGCTGATTGGACGTTTGTTTGGTGGACTGCTCTAAATTTTCTTTAATTGAAAGTAGCCAGACTGATCTGCGAGTGAAACCTTGAAAGCTCGCGAGATCAGGATGGTCTCACGAGGCTAATGACCTGCAGATTCCAGTTTATTTTTTTTCCTTAGCATTTATGGACCCAAAATGAAACAAAAAACTGCCATGCGTGTTCTTTGACTGTAGAAACTTTAAATCCAACTAAAAATATAAAAATGTATGATGGACCATTTTTCCATAAATGTAGGTAAACACCCGAGTCACTTTTTGAGTAATAATTTAATAACTGCACCTGTACTAGATGGTTTTGCATGCTATTCCGCCATAACATTAATGCCTTCCTTCTGAGGCATTACTCGTCTTTTCATAAACTGGAAAGACAGTTTGCTTCTTTTGACTCTCAGCCGTTTTCCAAGTTCACAGTGAGAGCAGTGGAGCTGCTATAAACAAAAAGCTTTCAGGATAGAGAAACATTAGAATTGCAATCAGACAGCAAGAGGAAATGATCAAATCACAAAGATTGGCATGTGGGACAAACAATAGAGAAGTTGATCCAACCCCTTTAATGCAATAAAGGACAAGGTCACACTTTTAAAATGCACTTTTTAACTTCAAAAATTAGTTTCAATATTTATTGAACAACTCTTAATGAAATCTTCCATTTTTGACACTGACAACTTTGACAACTGTTCCTGCTGCAGAAAAAACCAAAGAGCCTGCTCTTCCCGCTCCCAAGCCAGTCCCACCTGGAATCCACCCTTCAATGGTCCAACCTCATCATCACGTCTCTGGGCTGATCTCTAACCACGGCCTCTACATGGGCTCCAGCGCTGTGGGCGCAGGACTCCCCTCCTCCTTGATCACGCAGAGAGCAAACGAAGAGGAGAGGTGGTTGGCACGGCAACGCAGGCTCAGGCAGGAAAAAGAGGATCGTCAGTCCCAGGTGTCTGAATTTCGCCAGCAGGTTCTGGAGCAGCATCTGGACCTGAGCCGGACTCCTGACTTACCAGATCACAGGACAGACGCGCACAGGTGAGCCAACACTCTCTAACACATTTTCTAAACACATGCCATGGCAAGGGTTTTATGATTTCATTCACTGATTGTACTTTTTTTTCTACCATTATCTGATAAAGTTAAATAGTTCTTGTATCTATGACAACAAAACACACAAACAGTGGGCTTTCCTGTCCTTTGTCTGCTTTAAATAGCAGGGGTGGTTTTATTTTGTAGCTCTAAAAACAGGCAGACGTTACGTTTCTTTTGGTCACAGCAGGAAAAAGATGAACCATTTTAGGAACATGACATCTTTTCCATTTCCCTTCAGAGTTCCTTTTAGTGCTGACATGAAAAAAGCAAACTGTGTATAGGTGCTGATGAAACTAATGACATTGGAACTTAATAAATCCTGTTCGTGAGTGGGAACTGATAAGGGTTTCAAACACAAGGGGAGTTGGACTACTTGGACATACAAAAACTAATTCTCAGTTAATCCTCTCAACTATATACAGGATAAGCCTGGTAGCTACCTCTCACTGTGAGGGTGCCTGTGTTTGTAGTGTTTGTTATTCAGTGGTGAGGCTGTGGTTAATGCTGGCAGGACTGGACATACACACACTATCAGTAACCCTTCAGTTTAATCACATAATCACAGCTCAAAGACTGCAGATTGCTGATAAGATGCACTTTTCTTCATGCACATTCACCAAAACAGCATGCCTAGATGACTAATAGGGTCATGCAGCGTGTGCAAGATTTCTATGTTTGAATTTGGAAATAGACTTGGAGAAGAAAATGCCCCCCCCCCCCCCCCCCCCCCCCCCCCTGTTTCTGTCTTTATTTCTATGAATCTATTAATATATCCATTTGTTTGCTGCTTCAAAAATGACATTCTGCTTTTTACAATCCGTGTCTCGGCACTGCATCAGGAGGACATTTCTGCTGGCCTCTACTTTCGTACATAGCTCTCTTCTGTACTTGCCTCACTACAAAGGCCTAGTAGATCAAAAAAAGCAGCCTCTGTGTTGCAAAAAAAAGTGTGCGCCTTGGCCACATCCTCACTCTGCTCAGGGCTACTCTGTCTGGGTTTGATAAAGCTGCTTTGCACAGACACACTGACAGGGCTGAGTGGAAGCAGGCACAGCACATGAGCTCTGTTGCGTGTCTCTGTTCCATGCCTTTGATGGAATAAAACTTTTTTTTTTTTTCATTTGGAAGAGAGAATGTGTTTTATTTATGCATCAGATGAACATTTCCTTTCTGATTTTATCCTGGCAGGTCCATGCAAAACCACCATGAACCAGGAATCAGGGAGCATCATCCCCACCTGGGCGCCCCACCACCCCTCATCTCGCCCAAACCTCCACAGCCCCAGCGTGAGCACCACCCTGCACCTCCAACAACCTTGTGGAACCCTGCCTCTCTCATAGAAACTCCTTCAGAATCCAGGCGTAACCACGAGCCTTCAGGGATGGGCCACTATGACAGAAGTCGAGTTCCCCCAGGGCCCTCCAAATATGAAGATGGAGCTCGAAGGAGAGACATGGGAGCGATGGAGAAATACCCCCCTCTCAGACCTCCTCTAGTCCTCCCAGAACACAGCACCTTCCTTGCTGATCTAGAGAAATCCACCCAGTCCTTCCTAAGCCAGCAGAGGGCAGCGATGTCTCTACCTAGTCAGTATGAAATGGAGGGAAGCTTAAAGATCAATGCAGGACTAAAGAACCTTCAGGGACATCCAGTGCACAGCAGACATGGACAAGGTCCTGGAATGATAGCTGGACCTGGCATTGGACCGCTGACTGCACAGGGTGCGGGTCCAGAGACGGTGCTGATCTATGATGAGTTTCTCCAGCAGCACCGAAGGCCTGTCAGTAAGCTGGACCTGGAGGAGAAAAGGAGAAGGGAGGCCAGAGAGAAAGGTGGGTCTCAAGAATCTACTTTAACATAAAGACCACGGATTAATCTGTCTCCTTTACAGGAGGAAGTAAGAAATGTTGTGACACTGTTTCTGCAGGTTACTACTATGAGCTGGATGACTCGTATGATGAGAGCGATGAGGAGGAGGTCAGAGCCCATCTCAGAAGAGTAGCAGAGCAGCCCCCACTGAAACTAGACGACTCTACAGAGGTAAAATAGCAGATAAGAAGCTTACACTTTCACACCGTTACATGGCGAAAGAAAATCCAAACTATAATACAAAACTACAGAACATGAACCATTTTGTTTCCATACAGAAATTAGAGTTTCTGAGAATGTTCAATCTGACCACCATGAGCCGGCGTGATGAGCTTGTGCAGCAGAAGAGGAGGAAAAGGAGGAGAATGCTTAGGGAGCGCAGCCCTTCACCTCCTGCATCAAAGTCCAAACGCACCCCCCCACCACCTCCTGCTCCGCTCAGCACACGCTTCACTCCGGAGGAAATGGACCAAGCACCAGAACTGGAGGACAAGAAGCAATTTCTTACCATGTTTAAACTCTCTCACGTCACCATGCAGGACAGAAAAGGTCAGTGAAGCAGTTAAAGCAGCCCTGAATAGAATAGAAGAGAGTGCTCCTTAATCTTTCCCTCAGTGTGCATATTTGTGAATTAAAAGACAATAGAAAGGGACAAATAGGAAGACATTCAAAAGCTATTTCAAAGCAAAATTAAAGCAATTAAAAGGCACAACAGAGATGAATATAGAAGAGTGGTACATAAAACACATGAGCTTCATACTGACTTGGTTGCATTAACCTTTAACAAAAATATCCCCATCAGTTTCTTCTTTTGTTTTTTTGTCTTGGGCATCTCATTTCAGCTGAGTGATGCCCATTTGGGTCTTAAAACACAGCAGTTGGTCCTGCAGCTTGCTGATGCTTCACTATAGATGAACTCTGCTAGTTTTATTTGCTCTACACTCCCATGAACATGCTGACTCAAGCCTCCAAGGAAATTATAAAAGGGTCAAAAGATGATGTCAACTTCATGTCCCTATATTATATGCAGCGTGCATTGAGCAACGTTTGCACAATGACTGGCTTTTATTTCGCCCTGGTTTGATGAAGGAACTTTTGTCAAATCGGTTTGCACACGTATGTCTGAAGAATGGCTTTTTTAAGCTCTTTACTTATTTGCTTTTGTTAATTACAAAATAAGGTTTAACAACCAAATAAAACCCTCAAATCGTTGCTGTTAAAAGGTCTTGAAAAGCTTAGATGGTCTCGTTAAAGGCTGCATAGATGGTCTGAACTGGGAAATCAGCAAAATCCTAAAATAACAGTAGTTTGACATAAATGTGTTTCAGTAGCAGCAAAAGGAAAGCTCACTGACATGTATAATGATCATTTGTTTTCTTTTAGACAATGAAAGGGTGATTGAACTGCTTCAAGCCATAAAAGAAAAAAATGTAACCTTGGATACAATCAGACATGCACCTCATCCGCTGTGCAAGAGTCCTCCAGCACACATCTCTGGTAAGATGCTTCTCACTGGATAATAATTCACCTTTTTATCTCCAAGTATTTCTGAGGTTATTCAAAGACTTTTTTTCAGTACATGTAAAGTAACCCTGTGCAGTAATAGTGTCTGACCGCATTGTCACACTAGTGATGATGGGGATCTTGACCTCTTCATGAATAACATATGCTGAAATGATTGCAGATAAAGCAACTACCCAACACTCCTCTGAATCTGAAGACCACCATAATGTCAGGCAGCATAGTCCTCCGTCACATTGCCCAGCATCCCCCTGTGCTCCTAAACCTCTTGGAGACATCTTACGACCGAAGGCACCCCCCTCCCCGGCTGTCTACCCAGACAAGGCCCGGGGGTCCGGTGAGGGCCCCGTCTCAAAGAGGAACTCCAGCTTGCTCAACAGCTTGCGGCCGCCACTCCCCCTGCAGACTAAAGAGGGACCTCCTAGCGTCAACGGGCGCACAAAACCTTGGGACAGCTTCACCCCAGAGGAATTCGCCCAGCAGTTCCATGAATCTGTGCTTCAGTCCACTCAGAAGGCTCTGCAGAAACACAAAGGTACTACGCTTTCTGTGCAAATGGGATTTTAATCTACAGTGTCAGAAACGTCAAATCTGAAGTTTAATCCCATTTCCAGTGGTTGCTTCCCCAGTTTAGCTTCTGGTTAAAATATGAAGCTAAAGCAAAAGAAATTCTCACTGATTCCAACTCTGTAAAAATATATTCCTATAAAAAGAAATAATGTTCTCATAAATTTCATAAAAGCCTTAAACCGTTGGGCTGGTTGACATTTTATGTCAAAAAGACAAAATAAACCCTTGTAGAAAACTTTTTGTTGCATTCAAAATATATTCAAATCAGATGTTAATTCAAATGCCTGAAATATATACTGTACTAATAAGAAATACTTTTATTATTTACAATAACATATTTTTATTTATTTAAACACAGACTCCATGTCTACTAATCTTCCAAAATGCTTAAAGTTAATGAAATTGTGGCTGACTGCATGTTTTTAAATATAATTTGGAACATTATTTGATGCTAGGATATAAAAGACATGAATCTATACATGACTGTTGTTTTATGGTGTTTTATCATAAGATAATATTTTGAACGAAGTCATTTTGATCCTTTTTCATTTTGTTATAATTGGCAATATTTAAACCTCTAAAATATTTTATCTTTCTTGATAAAATGGTTAACCACATCACATGTAATTAGTCAAACTCTTTAAACTAGATATAGTAATTACTGTGCCATTAGATAAGCTATTCCATTTGTAACTGCTGCTCTCATCTCTTTGTCCCTGAAAAATCTTAAGTCTTAATGGCCAGAACGCCATAGTTGCCGTACTCCTCAGATACGCTTTAGTTTACCTTTCCCTTTAACTTTGAGGGTTAAGAGTGATGGGGCAAGGGCTTAGATTTGTTTCAAATTGAACTCTGCTAAAAATATATTGCATGATGCACATTTAACCTATATTGTAGCTTCAATCTTGTCTACAAAACCTCAGCAAAGTCATTAAATGTTTTTCTTTATTATTCTTATTTTAGTAATATAATAAAAAAAAATATATTCTTTGTTTGTACTCTCCCTTGCAGCTGAAAACCTAGATATATAAAATTTTATTTAAAGTCATAGTAGAGGATGCTCTTTTTCCGGGTGGATCATCAAAATAAGTGGTCCTTCCTACTGTCAATCATTCTGGTGATACGTTTACCTAAGGCCGTCCTCCTTGCTCGTCCCCATTTTCACTTACCGGTGGTGAGTCTGACAAAGTAGAAAAATTGCAGATTAGATTAGATGAGCTTTATTGATCACACAGCGGAGAAATTCACTGCTTACATATTGGCATAGTAATTAAAGAAGGTGCAAACAAGGAGGAAAAAGGTGCATTAAGAATAAATCTTCTTTTGGAAAGTAAGCTTGTATGAGTGATGCAAAAAGCAACTTTTAAACAGAGCGTGCACGAGGAGAAATGGGCTCATGCACGCTCTCCCACGCATAGGCGTTCCCTCTCTGGAGCGGGTACAGGGTTGTGCATGTGTGTGTTTTTTTTTTTTTTAAGTGGAGAGGGCAGGTCTCTATACCTTTAATTATATAAGAAACTACATATAGAAAGTATGAAGTGTCTTTTGATGGGGCATAAAAAGTCATGATCAATCAACCATTCTGTTCTTTCTCTCCTGTGGTTCTCTCTGTAGGCGGAGCAGCAGGCGTGTCAGAGTCATCTCACCCTCAGGAGTCATCGGTCCACTATAACCTTCCCGAGCTTCAGAACGCCCCCAGCCGCCCACCTCTGCCACTCTCACAGGCGCACTCAAACAATCCCCCGTTTCCCCTTCCCCACTCCCACCCTCAGCCCAATGGACAGCACTTTCCAATGCCCCTCCACAAGGAGGCAGCAGTGATGAGGGAGGGCCTGTCTGGTTCAGAGGATTTTGAAGAGGAGGATGATGAGGAGGAGGAAGAGGAGGCTCCTGTTCCCAAGTGGCAGGGAATCGAATCTATATTTGAAGCATATCAGGAATATGTTGAAGGTAAACAGCCAATAAGCAGGATACAAAATCTCCCTAATGGTTTTTAGAGGATTTAAATCTCGTCTTCAATAATGTGTGAAATATGATTATAAATTACATTGAATCAAATGGTTTCATACGACTATAAATAAATAACTTTGAGAGAGAAAGGGCAGGTAAAATTGTCAAAAAAGAAATGTAATTAAATAAAACATACAGGTGCTGGTCATAAACTTAGAATATCATGAAAAAGTAGATTGATTTCAGTAATTCCATTTAAAAAGTGAAACTTGTATATTATATTCATACATTACATACAAACTCATATATTTCAGATGTTTATTTTGTTTAATTTTGATGATTACAAATGACAACAAATGAAAATCCCAAATTCATCATATCAGAAAATTAGAATATTACTGAAGACCAATAAAAACAAAGGATTTATAGAAATGTTGGCCAACTGAAAAGTATGAACATGAAAAGTATGAGCATGTACAGCACTCAGTATTTAGTTGGGCCTCCTTTGGCCTGTATTACTGCAGCAATGCGGCGTGGCATGGAGTCGATCAGTCTGTGGCACTGCTCAGGTGTTATGATAGCCCAGGTTGCTCTAATAGTGGCTTTTAGCTCTTCTGAATTGTTGGGTCTGGTGTATTGCATCTTCTTCTTCACAATACCCCATAGATTTTCTATGGGGTTAAGGTCAGGAGAGTTTGCTGGCCAATTAAGAACAGGGATACCATGGTCCTTCAACCAGGTACTGGTAGCTTTGGCACTGTGTGCAGGTGCCAAGTCCTGTTGGAAAATGAAATCTGCATCTCCAAAAAGTTGGTCAGCTGCAGGAAGCATGAAGTGCTCTAAAACTTCCTGGTATGTGGCTGCGTTGACCCTGGACCTCAGAAAACACAATGGACCAACACCAGCAGATGACATGGCACCCCAAACCATCACTGACTGTGGAAACTTTACACTGGACTTCAAGCAACGTGGATGAAGTGCCTCTCTTCTTTTCCTCCAGACTCTGGGACCTTGATTTCCAAAGGAAATGCAAAATTTACTTTCATCAGAGAACATGACTTTGGACCACTCACCAGCAGTCCAGTCCTGTTTCTCTTTAGCCCAGGCAAGACGCTTCTGACGCTGTCTGTGGTTCAAGAGTGGCTTGACACAAGGAATGCGACAGCAGAAACCCATGTCTTTCATACGTCTGTGTGTGGTGGTTCTTGAAGCACTCACTCCAGCTGCAGTCCACTCTTTGTGAATCTCCCCCACATTTTTGAATGGGTTTTGTTTCACAATCCTCTCCAGGGTGCGGTTATCTCTCTTGCTTGTACACTTTTTTCGACCACATCTTTTCCTTCCCTTCGCCTCTCTATTAATGTGCTTGGACACTGAGCTCTGTGAACAGCCAGCCTCTTTAGCGATGACCTTTTGTGTCTTGCCCTCCTTGTGCAAGGTGTCGATGGTCGTCTTTTGGACAACTGTCAAGTCAGCAGTCTTCCCCATGATTGTGTAGCCTATAGAACTAGACTGAAAGACCATTTAAAGGCTTTTGCAGGTGGTTTGAGTTAATTAGCTGATTAGAGTGTGGCACCAGGGGCCATCAATTTTGAACCTTTTCACAATATTCTAATTTTCTGATATGATGAATTTGAGATTTTCATTTGTTGTCATTTGTAATCATCAAAATTAAACAAAATAAACATCTGAAATATATTAGTTTGTTTGTAATGTATGAATATAATATACAAGTTTCACTTTTTAAATGGAATTACTGAAATCAATCTACTTTTTCATGATATTCTAATTTTATGACCAGCACCTGTACATGTTCTATCGAGCCATATGTTGTACCATTTATTTGCCATTAGAGGACAGTATCATTTTCTGATGTGCTGAGAAGAGCATCTAAAAGATGAGTTTTGCATGCTTTACTCTGGTCTTATTCATAACCAAAACATTGTATCTGTTTCTTTTTTCCACTTTCTGCATCATTTCATAGAGCAAACTTTGGAGAGACAAGTATTACAGAACCAGTGTCGAAGACTAGAAGGGCAGAACTACCACCTCAGTCTGACAGCCGAGCAACTGTCTCACAGTATGGGGGTAAGACACACACAAACACACACAGACCAGGAAATAAAGGCACAAAGTTGAGTTTTGAGTAATTGCAATAATCTTCCAAAGACCTTAATTAAGAAAATAAAAAAAAATTTCTGCATCCTTATAAAGCTGCTGGTGAGCCCCTCCATGGTCACCATTAAATCCTCTCTGACAGCCATTCTAAAACATTATTACTTTAAGTAAGAAAGAAAAAAAGTTTTGAAGAGTAAACTGGTTTATCTCTGCTACAAATATAAATATTGTTATATATTGTTGGGTGAAAAAATCCTCTATTTGTTTACTGATGCTTGAGATTCTTGCGCCTCCTTCTGTTATTCCTCATTAATGCTCGACTCCTCCTGTTGCACAGGAGCTGATGTCTCAGCGACAGAAGCTGGCAGTGGAGCGGGAGAAGCTACAAGCAGAGCTGGAGCACTTCAGGAAGTGTCTGAAACTGCCGCAGACACATTGGCCTAGAGGCAGCCATTACAAAGGATACCCTCCTAGGTGACCCCCGACATGCCCCCCCTGAAGACTCCCAGCCCCCCAGCTGCCTCCCGTCAGACATAAGTTTATTTTTCACAGCCTTGTCCTTGTGACTCCACAGAGGGAATATGGCTTACTGGATAAGATGAGTGAATGAAATGGCTTGGGTAAATGAATAAACGGGTGAATGCACAAGAGACAGGACCATTGAGTGAAGGACAGGGACCGCTCCCAAAGCCACTGACGCGTGCCAATGTAGCCAAGTGAGATCAGTAAAGCAGGACCACCTAAACATCAACAAGCAGTCTCAAACAGATGGCTGCCAGTCCCATCCTTTAGCTCCTGTTGTTCTGCTGTTCAGTCCCTGCATCCCTCATCACCACAGCCACACAGACAATCCTGCCAGTGAAGGAGCAGCTGCCCCTCCCCGAGGGGTTTCATCACAAGACTTGAAAGCTCCAAATCTCCAGACGAAGGCTTCAGGCCAGTTGGGACTGATTTTTACCACAGCGGCCACCGTACCTTTTGAACTGGAAATGCACTTAAGAATAAAAGCTGAAGAACTACCTGTTGGTACTGTGTTACAACTGTTCATTTTAGGGAAAAAAACTTAGAAAATGTACATTTTTTTAAAAAGAGTTAAGGAAAGGTTTTATTTCAAAATAGAAAGTTTGAAAATAAGAATTTTAAAGGGTGCTTCAGCCTTGTATTGTACATATTATGAAGACTTCAATGAATTTTGTATGTTTTTATTACTTTAATCATTGTTCTTTTAAAAGAAAAGCCCGCCATTTTTATATGTTTATGCTTTTTTTGGGGGGGTGTGAAAAAGAAAGCCTTGCTTTTTGTGTTTTTTTTTTGCTGCTGCTAGCAAAAAAAAAAAAAATACACTCCGAGATGGTCCACAGATGGAGCTGAAAGCAGGGCGTCTTCCTGCTTTTTTTTTTCTCATCCGAAGTCTGAGCAGCTGAGGCCAGGCCACAGCCCACTTCATCTGACCCTAAAAGACCCGTCCCTGCCAACCCGCCATCCCGTCCCCCTTTCGCTGCACAGCAGCCTAACGTGTATTTTCACTCCTCCTGTGCTTCACTGCTGCTGGCGTAACTAGTTAGCTCGTGATTTCCTCATCCAGATTCACAGTGATATATGCAGGTGCATCTCAAGGATTTACATTATCATTGAGGAATTAATTTAATTCAGTTTATCCCATTTATTGCATGTATAATTTAGTTTTTATGGGAACACAATTTTAAAAACTGATAGGAAATGTGCAATCTTTGCAGAGAGAACTCGATCAGGGGTCATTTTGAATGATTTTCTGCCCTAATGCAACGCAGCATGAAGAGGTGTAGTTTTACTACGGTGTTAGTGGAGCTCCATATTAGATCATCTATCATATCTGAGGGAGTATGAAGTGCTCTTAAATTTCCTTGAAGGCAGCAAATCTGACTTTAACTTGATTAAAAACAGCAGACTGACACCAGTGAGTAACTGTGACTCAGGTTGCCGGTAATATGTTTGCATTCACCTCTCTGAGCAGCCACCAGGGATTGATTTTGTATTGAATTACTGACATAAATTAACTTTTCAATGATGGTATTTATTGGTATGCACCTTTAAAGTTTATATATACCTAATCTCAAAAGCAGCAGGCAGATGAATCTGTTTTTTGAGCTTTTTTTTTTATATATAAAGATACATATATTGAATCTTATCAGTTTTTAAGACTGCACATATTGGAGCCAGAGGAATGATGATTAAACCGTATGAAATTAAGCCCTTTTCAAACAGCCATGATGCAGTGCCAAAAAAAAAAAAAAAATTGAATAAATCGAACCATTCTAAGATTGGTGATGCAATTTGAAAGCCAAACCCTTTCAGTCACCTTCACTTTTTTTGGAAGGATCCCTCCCGTCACAGAAATCCCACAGTGTTAAACTGGACCAGATTAAGAAGGGTTTGCTTTATACCATGCATACATGTTTACAACCCCTCCTCTGCCTTTCCTGCAGCATTGCCCTGAAATTGGTCCAGTGTTACACTGTCAACTACCCCCCATCATAAAAGTGAAGCCTTCCAAACAAACAAAAAAGATTTTAAATGTACTTTAAAGATTGAAGCACAAATATGCCACAAGCCCCCTATTTTACTTCCAAGTGCCTCAGTAATTTGAGAGCATGTGAATTTCACAGTCCACTAGTGTCTGCTGTATCTTGACACCTTTTCAATGATGACTCTGAATTAGTTTGAACACAGATCACCTCGTTTGCAACCATTCTTTCCAAAGAAGCAATGCCTGAACCAGATGAGAGAATAAAAAAGTGCAGTCTGTTACTTTTCCACAGCAGGGCCATCCGTGCAGCCTATTAGCAAATGAGGACACATGCATGCTGAGGTAAGCTGCCAATTAGCTGGAGAGGAAGTAAGACGAGGCTCTTACTCAGCCTCCCTGGGTCTCCAACCCACGCACGTCCATGGAATAGCTCGGTTACTCAGTGGAGGATGTCTAGATGCTGTGAAATCCTGGTTTGTTTGTTTTTTTTTTTTGTTTTTTTTTTATGTACTTGTTTTAAATTCATCGTAATGTAATATATACTTTGTTGAATGTAGTAATTAGGTATTTATGAATATATGGCTGTGATTTCAGACAAAAAGATAATAAAATGCTTCAAAAATGTCAAACATCAAAATGTGTGGGTGTTTAAGTCTTAGATGGGAATATTGATGATTCCCACACCCTTTTATTGGAACTTTTAATATGGTTTCATTTTACTACGTTTCTTTCAAATAAAAAAAAAATCCAAGACTTAGGGTGTAGAAGCAGTTTTATTGTCTTATATCAGATCAGAAATCAGAATCAGAAGATATCCTTAAACATGGCCCTATACTTACTTCAGGGTAACCCTTTAAAAAAAAAAAGTTTGAAAATTATACTCTTACTTAAATCCTATTTGTCTCCTTTGAAGGTTATGTAATTTACCTGATCAATTTCAACAAAAATACATATGAAGGAAAAACTTGTACTAACTGGCAAAGTTACCATGGAAAGGTTCAGTGTTTAAACCGGGTTAAAAATCCAGCCTTTGACTGGGCCATGGCCGGTTAGTTTAAAACTTAAGGTGACAAAAAGTTGCTGGATATTTTCTTGCAGATTAGAAACTTTTCCCCATCTTCTGTAAAAAAAATAAAAAAATTCTAGTCCTAAAGCAGGAAAGATCACATTTATTTAAATGCTGCAGTTCTTTACCGGATGTAAAAATGCAAACACCTTTGACAAATTCTCACTTTTGTCCTCACGCAATATATTTTCCCAAAGTTGTTTGGAATCAATCTTTTAAATGTTGACAATTTACATTCAGTCAAGTTTTAAGCCTCCCATGGATGCCAGTCGCTTACTATTAAATCACAACCACTGATTTTAAGGCGGTTATGGGCATAGCAGATCTATATACTTGGTTCTAGAATATTTAGTTTCCCCAAAGCTTCAGAAACCTCTTTCTAAACTTTTACAGACTGATAGATGTCTGTAGATTGAGGCATAATGTGTTTTTTTTCCCCCTCTTAGCCTTGAAGTTAGAATATTCTTTTAGAGCGAATCATTCGTAAAACATTTTCACAGGACTGTAGTTGATATAATCTACGTCCAAGTGAAGAACAGCACAGAGAACAATCCAGCATAAACAAGTACATTTATTTTTTCACATGGTAAAAACACCTTTAAATTAACACTATTATACACAGCTGATCCTTCTGAAACAGGCGTCTCATAAATGCTGATCTTCCTCACAGAAGTTTGTTAAAATGAGAGTAGAAAACTTCCAGAAACGCAGCGCCTTGGTAGTAGAAACAGGATAGTTCAAATGTTGAAGTCTTCTAAACATCATCATCCCGCATCCAAAGAGGCTTCAGTAGTCAGCAAACCGGCCCTTAGAGGAACCAGGCTGCAGGTTGGAGCGCAGCTTGTACATGCAGTTCAGAGAGTCAAGGAGGAACTCTCTTATGGTGTTGATCTCCATCAGAGTCAGGTTGTCCAGCTGCAGAATGAATGAGACAGGACTGTGTTTATGATTTCTAAACAAAACATTAAAATGATAAACAGATATCGTTGCTTTTAAAGAAAATCCACTCAGATCCACACCTAATCGCCTCCCTCTGTGCTCACAAAACATAAGAATAAATACCTAAACGTCATTCTTCCTGGGATTTCATGTTAATAACCTTAGTTTAAAGTCAATAATCGGGCAGGGTCTCTGAAGAAATAGATGTGTTAGGAGTTTGCTTGCTTGCTTTGAGGTTTATTCCCAGCCTGTGTTACCTGAGCGTGGGCCTCCTGCTGCCTGATGAAACTGTCCGCAGACAGACGCAGTTTAGCAATCCGAGTGTCCCAGATGTCTTTCACAAGCGTTCGGATCTCATCAGCTTTAGGAATGTTGTCAGACGCGCTGCAAAGACGTACAAAAAAAAGCATAATGAGATTTGGCGTCACCCAAGGTGGGTCAGAAGGCGACGTGCTCCCATGCCATGACTCACTGGTTCAGTAAGAGTTTGGTCAGTTCCATGTAATACGGACTGGGAGCGGGAGTGAAGGCCTCCTCTTTTCTCTCTAGCTCTCGCATCTCCTCCAGTTTGTCTGCATGGTGGAGGAAAGTTATTATGACAAGAAGATAACGCCAGAAGAAATACGAACGCAACTCACTGCAACTCTTTTATGCTGATAGTTGTCAATCGTTTTTATTTCCTATGTACTCCAGCTTCCTGTTTAAAGTCCAAAATCATGATTGCTTTGGATCTTTAAGTGACCCTTATGGATTCCTCTGAGGTTTTACATGTTTATAATAGTATTTCAACCTTTCAGATGAAAAACCAAACTGCTGTCAACAAAAACGATGGCAAAATATTTTTGACAAAATTAATCCTGCTGAATAGATCCTTGGTTCTGCAGTTTAGTTTTACAGGACGTCCAATTTCCTGTCATCTGTTAGGATTATTATTGTTGCTGATGTGAGAGTCTGTTATACCTTAATAATAGTTTATCTAATTAGGACAGTTCAACTACAATGTCATTGTAGTTGTAAAATGTCATTTTCATTATGAACGTGGCAAAGATTTGGGAATGGAATGAGAGCAGTAATATTTTGATAAGGCTGGAGCCATGGACGACATCTCATCTACAAACATGTATGATGTGATGATGCAGCAGACTGGAGTCGTATAAAATGCTTCTTTAACTGTGATCCGGGGCAGCTTCCATGAGATGTGAGTCCAGTTGGTAAGCGCTGCCTTCTGTAACTCAAAGCAACTTCTCTGTTCTGAGAAAGATTACAATTTCTGTCAAAATCTGTTGTCCTGTCTCATGGTTATTTAATACATGTACATTAGGAATTGTTATTTATGAGTTTTTCCCAAGTGATCTCTTCTCCGGAAAAGAACCGGGGAGAGAAAATTTCAAGGTGTAAACACACAGCTTATGTCTGTTTTTCTTTTATTTTAAACAATAATCACTTTGTTCATTAATTTGTAATTTAAGTGAAGCAAAAAGAGCCATAATAATAACAGCTACCTAAATATATATAGAAAAAAATGTGCATAATCTTCCATTTTGACGACAAAAACCCTTTTAACTCTAATGAATTAATAGCAGCCTTGTTTCTATCGACCACCAAATTGTGGAAATTGTTATCCTCAAACCTTGCTGTAATATTCATGAAGTCTTAATAATAATAATTAGAATAAAAATAAGTTTAAAAGTGAGGGTGATGTCCTTAAGAACTTTATAGAGATTTAAATCAGGATCAACCCTTATCCAGAGGAAAGCACTGGCTTTTCACTGCTGAATGATTTCATTCAGTTCTGCACATTTAAACTACATGAATCCGCTGTAAAAGTAACACAGCCCATCTAAAAATAACATAATTCACCCAAAAACACAGAAAATATATCAAATGTTGATACAGTTTTAAATTTGCCCACAAACTTTTTTCTCCTATTGGTGTTTTAGTTCTAATGCAGACTAAAACTCTGATGCCCCTAAGTAAAATACAGTGCAGGTGCCCTTTTTGTAGTTAATGCTGATTATTACTAGAGCTGATCTGTGACGGCATTGCAGGTGTGAAGGCATCCCAAAAACGAAGAATAGACCTCAGCAGGTCACAGATAAAACAAACTTTTATGAAGGTTTAAGTTTTACCACCTCATTCCAGTGGAGATCTGATGAGTCCATCATATGGGAAATGAAATGTTACAAGACAGAGCCCTGCACCCGAAATGAAGGACAGCTAAGGCTTTGACTAATCACACTTGACACAAATCCATTCTTTATGGAAGGAAGCGATTTACGACTGCAAATATGTGGAAATGTTTGTTATACTAAAACTGCATCAAAGCATCTCTGTAAGACAGTGTGATGGCAGCATTATGGTGTGGGGATTCCATCCCATTGGGCAGATTTTATGAACAGGATAGAATGAAACCCAAAAACAGGATAATACTGCAAAGTAGCGACAGGGTTGTTGTTTATGTTCCATGGGGATTAGGCCGCAGCTGTTGTGGATCAAAATACATTCAAGGGGGGGAAAAAGGTGTTAGTCTGGACTGAAACCCAGTATTAGAAAGCTGCAAAGGCGTTTCACTAATAACAGGCAAAATTACCAACTTTGATGTGCACAGGAGTTTTAGAGTTTATAGAGACAGATATCCCTGTTTGGTCTCTATAAAGATAATGAGAGAAAGCGAGCGGTCAGTGGGTGGGGCTAACGCTCCCGTCACACTACACCGCAGCAAGATGTCTTCTAAGCTTATTAGATATATTCAGAACAAACTAGAAATATAGAAGCTGAGGTGGCTCACCCAATGTGCTGTCAATAAACTGCAACACATAATATCACTTCCTATTTCTAGAAATAGTAATCTAGAAAGAAGTTACCTTGGCTTTTGTTAGTGAAAAGCAGTGGATCAGATTTGAGAGTTTCTTTGGAAACAGCTCTAGTCCCACCCACTGAGTTTGACAGATAGCATGAAATGCAGAGTGAAATAATAAAATGTATATTACCTTTTATTTATTATTTAATGTTATAATTAAAATTGTATGTGTATTTAATAACACATTTAAATTTTTTTGTATTACATTTTAAAATATAATTGCAAATCTCATTATCTAAAAATGTCTTTAGTAAATACATTTTACATTTAATAATTTAATTCTACCTTTAGTAATTGTAACATTAAACACGCCCAACTATTTAATTCCATGCAATTATTTATTATTATTATTTTTTTTTTACAGTTTTAATTTTGTCGCTCCTAAGCTTCCGTAGAGACGTCTTTAAATAATTGCAGCAGTCAACGGGTGAGTAAAGTGAAAGGGGTCCACCCTCCCCTATGTTCAGATATGATCTGTTAAACATTTAGAAACCAAAGGAGTATATGATTTAACAACAGGTAATAAGCGGGCGTTGGTAAACAGCTAACAAAATGTTGTGTTTTAAGGTGACAAAATGTGAAAATTTTGTGAAAAAAAAAAAAAAAAAAACCTACCGACATCCATCCACTCCGGGGGAAGAATCCTGCATTTCTGTCTTTGTTTTAGGTTTAAAGCCAACCACACGGGTACATCAACGGGAAGCCCGGGGTTGAAGGGGCCTAAATCTCCCTAAACACAGAAATTAACGCACAAATACAGGTTTTCCGGATCATAAAGCCTGCAGATATTAATACATTAAGCGGAACGATCTGCACAAACTTACTCCGATTAAATAGATCTTGTCCAAACTGAAGTTAGGTATTATTTTCACAAACTCTTTCTCAGCAAGAAATTCAACTTCTGAAGGATCCATAACCGCTTATTGCTGCTTTTACCGAACCTTGTTCATTGATCCCACCTCTGTCTGCCGAAAGTTCCCGCGCTGTTAGCAGGGCAAACCTTGAAAAAACAAGTAGCAGACAACTGCGTCATCACCGGAAGCACGATACTACGACATCCTCTCCATACTGTCGCCTCGCGTTTATAGCAGGCCGTATAGACATTTATTACAAGAGCTGTCCTCTCTATTGTTCCGTTGAACTCTAAAATAAGATTCTTCCTTTTGCTCCTAAAGTTGTATTTTCTTTCATTTGACTATTTGGAATGGCCTTTCAAAATATCACAATATGCGTTCTATTTGGAAGAACATTGTATGGCGTGCCAAATTTAAAGTTACGAGAACAGACGATGCCTTTGAACACGGTGAGGTTGCCGGTATGGCAAGCCATTTTGAAATTAATTAGGTTGACTAAATATATATATATATATATATATATATATATATATATATATATATATATATATATATATATATATATATATATATATATTCCAGATGTCTCAACTGCATTTCTTCATAGTCAAAATATACATTTCAGATATATGAAATGTATATTTTAGATAGGAGGGATATAAATTTAGATATCTGAAATAAGGCTCGGGCACATGACGTCACACGTTGCGCGGCAGCCATATTGATAGCTGGTCAGCCCACTGTTTACACTTTGACTTCGCGCCTGTAAGGACGAGCTTTCTTCTGCTAGTAGTTTGCTTAGTTTTTTGCCGTTTAATTTTACCTCTGCTGTCGTTATGGTCGCCCGTTGCTGTGTCGTAGGGTGTAGTAGCGCAAGCTGTGACTGGACGGGGAAAAAAATCCCAAATGGATTGTCTTTTTACCGTTTTCCAACCTGGAGGCGTCTCAATGGAAAACAAATGTCCTCCATAACAAAGAGTCGCCGGCTAGCATGGGTCGCTGCTGTAAGACGGCCAAATATAACTTTCAACTCAATCCCTGCGTCCATGAGAGTGTGTTCCCGGCATTTTCATTCTGGTAAGTTACAGAACATACTGTTTTTATTCATGTATCATTTCAAGTTAACCGTTGTTGGCTGATCTGTAGCATGTAGCATGAGCTGAAGTAGGGTTGTGTTCCAGAGGGTTAGCCAGGTCCACTGAAACACAAAACAGTTGTCCTACTCTGTTTATTTTGTCATTAATAGTTTATAATAGGGTTAATAGTTTTGGTTGTTTCACCAGGAAAGCCAGTAGATACATTTTTGATGTTTTACGTTAGTGCCAGCACCTAGTCTTATCACCACAACAAACACCACACCATGTTGAGACGGTAGCTTACCTTGGCTCTGATGACTGTGTTCTCATTCGGCTTGATAACTTCCATGTCATGAACTTTTCCATCTGTCAGCTGTTTGTAAGCCTCTAGCGACTTGTAGCAGCGAAACTCTTCATGTGTGTAGGCACTGACGCCACACACTAGATACGAAAATACGTCCTCCCTTGCAAACGGCGGTAGAAATTCTTCCCCAACGCACCACTCCTTGCTTTCTACTTCGTAGAGATCAAGTCCGTTTATGAAGCCCATCTTTTCCAGATAACGGTCCCTGGCTTCCCTCTGCAGTGTGTCTCGGTATATTCCGCATCCTTTCTTCGCTTTTAACATCGCTGTTTACTCGTCTTTCTGCTCTGTCTCTATGCTGTTTTAGGTCTTTGTTTACCGTAGCAACTAGCTACCAATATGGCGGCGTACCCAGAATGCAACGCGCTGTGCCCGAGCCTTATATTCATTTTGACTAGGAGGAAATGCATTTAAGACATCTCGAATATATGCTAATAAATTTTTTACTTTTACTTAAAATTTGTAAAGGTTTCTAGGTATTTCAAAAATGTATATTTAAAAATGTATTGTTACTGGTACAATTATATTTTTGGCAGCCTGAAATGTATTTTTTCCAAAAATTTAATTTGGGATATCTATATGTACATTTCTGGCTGTAGGATTGTAGTTTTGAACTAGAAGATCTTTGAGAGATCAACAAACCGAACAATAGAGAGGACTGCGCTTCTAATAAATGTCAAAATGGCCTGCCATACTGCCATAGTGTATTGGGCTTTTACTTCCAGATAACTAAAATAACATTCTTCCCATCTAAAATAAACATTCTTCCTATCTAAAATGAATTCAGTCAGGAATTAGCTATTCTAATTTCAGATCTCAATGATAGAGTTACTGCTAGTCATAATTACAATTTTAGATATCAAAAATTAATATAACATTACAGATATCCAGAAATCCAATTCTTGGCATCTAAAATATATTTCTACTAGTACAAATATAATTACAGATACCAAGTACCTATTTTATGACAAGTTAAATTAGAATTCCTGATATCTCAATTTTAATAATGCCTATCTAAAATTTAGTTTTAGATATTCAAAAGAATAATGACGCTCCGTTTTAACATAAAATAAGCAGGCTAACTAGTCACATTTCTAAAATAGATAGCACTAAAGCATTCTACCTAGTCACAATTACAATACTCCTCATCAGAATTGAATTTTAGATATCACTAATTATATTACTATCAGTAAATATAAAATTTTAAGTACTCTGAAATAAAATTTGTAATAGTGAGAACTACATTTCAGATACCTATAAATCTTTACTTATTTTATGTGGTCGTTTTAACATATATTTGCTAGTATTGCAGATATCTTTAATAGTATTCCTCTTATCTAAAATGAACATTTCAGATATCTGAAATGTAATTCTTACCAGTACAAATGACGTTACTTTTTCCCATTCATGTGTATTGGGCCATTACTTTCAGATATCCCGAAATGACATTGCTCCTATCTAAAATAAACTTGCTGGATGTCTGAAAAGGAATTTCAGATCTCCGCAATCAGATTGTTACTGGTCATAATTTTTATTTATTCATGTTATGGTTGTTACATGTCATTAACCTTGACCAAGGCCCCTTACAGTAGAAATGCAGTCAGTTCCTGGACTGGCATGGCTATCACTGCCCCTACATAGTTAGGAACAAATTTCCCACTGGGATCAGCTTCATAGTCATGGTAGGACACTTTTTTGATTTTATTTATTTTGCTGAGGCTACTCATAAGCCTACAGCTCAACAAATGCTAAAAGGGCAATATTATTGCCATTACTGTCGATATATAGTAGAAATTTTACACATTTATTAATAAAATGTCACAGGGGATGGTATGGGGAGATGGCCATTTAAGAAAGGGGATGATTTGTACAATTTTTTTAAGAAGGGGGATGCATTTGAAATGTATTCTGAATTAACACAGTTCATATAACTAGAAGCATTTCATCTTGCTGCTTTTCCGCTTCCACTCGTTAGTCTTAAAAAATGACCAGTTGAATAAAAGAATGTAAATTTATTTTACAAATGAAAAGAAGTTCAAGTACTTTTACAGTCTCAGAAACCAATTTTGACATTCATCTCTCAAAGGCTCTGTAAAAATCCCATTTATGACCAGTTCTATCTTTAAACAAAAATGCAGCTCTATACCAAGGAAAGCTGCAATAAATCTAACATTTAATTGATTTGAAGAACTCAATTTAGAAAACACAATGCCTAGAAGCCAGTTAATCAAACAAGCAGCTACAGTAAAACAAAATCCACACATTCCTCTAACCTGATAAAGTATAAATATTTAAACGAGGACAGTCAATTCAGACACTCCCGTCTATGACCAAAAACATATCTGAAAACATTGTATGAAATTTAGAGAAATACAACACAAAGGTGCTAGCATGAAGCAATAAAGTAGGTCAGAGTAGGTTTATCTAGCATCAGGCTACATTTAAATATGTGGATTTTGTTTTGTACCTTAAAAAAAATCTAACATCTTGCCATACCATACAGTAAAATCATTAGGTAAGATTCATTAATAAATTAGAACTTGATTTCAGTATGGCTACAAGCTATTCAATTTATATAAATCAGTCTCTCTAGATCTTTTAAACATTTCTGAATAAACAATCCATTTCAAAAGCCAAAAAGAACAGAACGGATTAAAGAACAAGTTGCCTTTATCACCTCAGGATCACCGTGTAAAGGTGGAAATAGGCCAACAACGTGTACGGCATCTGTATTTGAGAGATTTCGGCCTGTATGATCTGGGATCCACTACATTGTTCAGTGCAGGAGGTTTAAAGGTAGCATCATGCAAGCAAAAAAGGCTGCAAATTTTTCACATGGGACCAAAGACTTGAGTTGAGAGTCCTAACAAAGATCCAGGACAGACTTGTTAATAGCAGGGTTGGTCCAATCATTTCTAAGATCATCCAAGTGGTTGTCAAAGTCAATCAAGTTCTCATAGGACCTGCCCACCAGCAAGGCAGATGTGATCTTCTGTGCTTCGTTCCAATCCTCAAAAGCATCTCTGAAAGAATATTGAAAGAAAAATATCCAGACGGTAATTATCTTCAGTCTTTGGTTTTAAAAAAAAAAACAGGACGTAGAAATTCAATCCTAGATACTTACGTTGTTACTTCCCTATTTTTCCACTTATTTTCAAGGTGATCATAGATAAACACAATAGGCTCAAAGCAGCTCATTGTTAATCTGCTGCTGTCCACCTGCAGAAATGCAAAGCCAGACAGGGATTAATTAATAAGAAGATATGATCAGAGAGATAAGTCCACTAACAGAAAAGATGATGGTGTTTAAGCTGCTAATATTTCTGGCATGTTCCAAATATTAAAGTCTGTTTAATTCAGCTGTTCAATAGGGTCTAGTTTGCCTCCAAACTGAAACACACTCATACACCATAGTGAAAATATTTCATGCCTAACATAAAAGTCAGAGCCACTTAAAACGATCAAACATTACCATAACGATAACAGCTTCGCTGAAGTTCTCAGAAATCCCGGCAGCCACTTTCTGAGCAACTTGATTTGGTCTGAATGGAGGGAAAATAATGCAACAAAGGGTATCTAAAAGGTTTGATTCCTCTGAAAAATAAGGCGGGGTTTTAACTCGACTTACCTTGAATCCTGAGTCTGTTCATTGGCTTGATAATACCCTACAATGGTGTAGTTATTTTCTTTACACCAAGTATCAATCTGAAGGCATAAGAAAGAAAGGAAGGTTGGGTCAGCATAGGATAATTTTCAAGGACAAAGAAATAAACAGAACAACACTTTAATAGACGTTATTAAATGCAGAAAGTAGAAAAACTATCCTATGTAGGGCTGCAAATAATGATCTTTTTGCAAATCAATTAATCTGTCAATAATTTTTTCGATTAATCGATAAATAATGGGATAACAAAAGGTTCCTTAAAGAAGACGTTTCGCCAATTTAAACCAGGTGAAACAAACTTTTCCACTTGACAGGTTCTGGATAGAGCATATTGACAGACAAAAAAGTTTTGTTTTTTTTTATCTCAAAGAGAAATGTTTACATGTTATTTTTTCCAACTTTGATTTAATTGCTGCTCAAGGTGGGTCGTTCCGTCAGCTAAAGACACGTTTTACAGAGTCTCTATACTCCATTTAATGATTAATTAATTACTAAATTAGTTGAAGATCATTTCAATAATCAATTAATCACTATTAATCCAATTAATTGTTTCTGCCCTAATCCCAACATCTACTACATCCCATAAAGTCATGTTGGTAACCGACATAAACTCATAGCTTTCTTCATTATATAAACAAACAAAAACAAAAAATCAAAAAATGACAAATTAAAGACCTGCCAAAGATTGGAATTGGTCACTTTTTCATTTATTTTTTCTAACCCAAGTGGTTTTCAGTTGCAACAAAAACATATTTTACATTGGAAATAAACCATATAAAGTTTAATATACTTCCATATGTGACAGTTGTGATTTTTTTTTATTACTAATGTATTTATTTATTTTTTATTCAAAACTACTACTACAAAAATCTACAGTTTGCTGTTCATGTTATGATCTCAAATAAAGAAAAAAATCATGACAGCTGATAAAAGTCAGAATGGACAAGTGGGATCCAAAAGAATTCAAAATACACTTAAGTAGTCCTTAAAAACAGAAAAGTGATAGATATATATCTAGATAGATATATATAAATATATATCTATCTGTGTATATATAGATATATAAAATTGTTTTTAACCAGCTGATCTGCCACATAAACTCTGAGCAATGCCCAGAGTTGAAAACTTACCAGTGTCAAAGCTACTTCCAGCATTGGTGCCAGAGCAAGAGTACCGTGGAAAAGTGGGACACAATCCACGCACAACACCGGACCACTGTGACCGTCTTTCTTTTTCTCTTTTGTCTTTTCTGCCACCAGCAATCCATTTACGGCACAGTGAGGATATTTAGCAGCGTGTAAAAGCATCTTACAGTACGCCTGACTGGTCAATTGAATAGGCATGTCTGAAAGAGAAAAGCAGGTGGAGGAACAGATCCTATCAGGGAGTCGGTGTGGAAATCAGCGGCGAAGAACGACGGGAGTTAGCTGTCGTCACTTATCATGCCCGAAGAAAAATACAACTCTACCTCAGCGGTTTCCTTTAGTTCCGAATATAAAGAGTCAACTATGCCTTGAGGTAACTGTAAATACTGTTTTTAGTTAATGTAAAACAAAATTGTAGTTATGTGTTAAAGTCGATAACTCGTGTTAAGTCAGGGTGGCTAATCGTATGCCCACCTTCCACTAGTTTGTGAGGTACCAGTGGTGCCGTAAACCTCTAACAAGTCGCCGTAAAGCATATTTTGGCCCAGTCCATCAAATCCTTTACGTACTTCCGCCTTGAGACCTAGCACTTCTCTTCAGATCGGCGGACAGGAGAAAGGGTTGCGCTGCAGGTCGTTTGTCTATTGATTTCCTTCAAATTTCTTATTTATGAAATTATATCAAGTGTATGTTGTCTTTTAGCGTGTAGCGTCATTTGTAGCATAACAGCAGGTCAAACGCGATGGAAAACAATTGCTAAATTGGGTCACTTTGTAGCGCGAGCCTAAACCGGAATGAGCTAATTTCCCGGTTAGCTGATGTTAGCATACACAATAAAGTGTTGGATAGGATGAAGATGTCGATGTAGAAAATGTTAGACTGCTCAGCCGTTGGTTCAAGGGAATTATGTGTCGGTGAACGCGTTAAGTGTTGTAGCGTTTACTTTATAATACCATAAAATAGGTGGTGATTTTACCGGAGCGCTGTGACCTTGTGTTTGTAGCTAAAGCTAACCATAGCTTAGCCTCGCGATAAACGGAAAACCTAAAGCTAGACTGCTCATCTTCTATATATATTACAGTTAAATGTTCCTAGTCCAGCAGAATTAAATGCGAACATATTAAATGACTTTAGTGAGTTATTTTAATGAGGACTTTTTGCAAATAACAATTTAGTCCCATATAATCGAAATAATCAAGGTTATAGGATCTGTCCGCATCTCAAACGTTAATGTAGTGAGATTCATATAAAGATTTTCCATCCTGGTTGTTAGTAAATGGCCATTTTTCATTCAATTATTTCTGAAATTCAAAGTTGAAGAATATTTGTTGCAAATGTTATCCTATTGTCTCAACAGAATGCTGGCAACAAGAGCCCTGAGCCTTATTGGCAAACGTGCCATTTGTACATCTGTTTGCGTACGTGGAGGACATGGTAGGTCATGGTGCCACACTGAACTGAATATTTTCCTTGTCTGGCTGTTGATATAACAATAGATGGAGCAGGTGCTGGTTAAAATTTTACAGCATATGGTTTACCATTCATCATTTTAATCTAGAGTTTGTTGATTCGCCTCACTGCAGAATGTGACTGCAAGAAATTAAATATTCGCTGCTGTTCAATAAAATGCATTTCATTTCTCACTTTCATGCATATATACATTACCTAATAATCATCTTACAGTTAGAGGAATACTGTAAGGTGAAATAATAGCTCCAGCTTCTATTTCCTAAAACACTGCCTCAATACAGGCCAACAGTTTAACATGTAACACCTGAAGCTCGTACCTGAAAATTTAATGGTACATGTTGACTTACGAAATGGTTACTGTATGGTTGAAATTCATGTAATGGATGGTATGTACCTCTCCCACATGCTGGTAATGGAATGCAGGTGTTTGACAGCCCACATTGTTGTTTCTAAACAGCATATGCCAGACTCCTGAAATCAGGTGATCTGGCTGTTATCAGAAGGGATCAAATAATGAACTTATCTGCTGGGTTTTTGCATTCTTGGTAGTGGCGAAGCCAGTTGGAGCTGCAGTTAAATAATCTTACTGGACAAGGGGTCTTCAACCCAGGTCCTCAGGATCCACTTTCCTGCCTGTCTAAAGTGTCTCTTCCTTAGTGATCAACGTGAATAAAATATTTATCAGAGAGATTTTAGCTTGTATGTCCCGAAACTCCGCTGTGCTCTGTTATACCCTTCTTTAGGATGTCATGTTTTAGATTTTTAAAAGATCCTCAGAACTTTATTTTTATTCACTTTGCCTATTTTTTCACTTCTAGGTACCAAGTAAAAGTACAGGTGCTGGTCATAAAATTAGAATATCATGAAAAAGTAGATTGATTTCAGTAATTCCATTTAAAAAGTGAAACTTGTATATTATATTCATACATTACATACAAACTCATATATTTCAGATGTTTATTTTGTTTAATTTTGATGATTACAAATGACAACAAATGAAAATCTCAAATTCATCATATCAGAAAATTAGAATATTGTGAAAAGGTTCAAAATTGATGGCCCCTGGTGCCACACTCTAATCAGCTAATTAACTCAAACCACCTGCAAAAGCCTTTAAATGGTCTTTCAGTCTAGTTCTATAGGCTACACAATCATGGGGAAGACTGCTGACTTGACAGTTGTCCAAAAGACGACCATCGACACCTTGCACAAGGAGGGCAAGACACAAAAGGTCATCGCTAAAGAGGCTGGCTGTTCACAGAGCTCAGTGTCCAAGCACATTAATAGAGAGGCGAAGGGAAGGAAAAGATGTGGTCGAAAAAAGTGTACAAGCAAGAGAGATAACCGCACCCTGGAGAGGATTGTGAAACAAAACCCCTTCAAAAATGTGGGGGAGATTCACAAAGAGTGGACTGCAGCTGGAGTGAGTGCTTCAAGAACCACCACACACAGACGTATGAAAGACATGGGTTTCTGCTGTCGCATTCCTTGTGTCAAGCCACTCTTGAACCACAGACAGCGTCAGAAGCGTCTTGCCTGGGCTAAAGAGAAACAGGACTGGACTGCTGGTGAGTGGTCCAAAGTCATGTTCTCTGATGAAAGTAAATTTTGCATTTCTTTTGGAAATCAAGGTCCCAGAGTCTGGAGGAAAAGAAGAGAGGCACTTCATCCACGTTGCTTGAAGTCCAGTGTAAAGTTTCCACAGTCAGTGATGGTTTGGGGTGCCATGTCATCTGCTGGTGTTGGTCCATTGTGTTTTCTGAGGTCCAGGGTCAACGCAGCCACATACCAGGAAGTTTTAGAGCACTTCATGCTTCCTGCAGCTGACCAACTTTTTGGAGATGCAGATTTCATTTTCCAACAGGACTTGGCACCTGCACACAGTGCCAAAGCTACCAGTACCTGGTTGAAGGACCATGGTATCCCTGTTCTTAATTGGCCAGCAAACTCTCCTGACCTTAACCCCATAGAAAATCTATGGGGTATTGTGAAGAAGAAGATGCAATACACCAGACCCAACAATTCAGAAGAGCTAAAAGCCACTATTAGAGCAACCTGGGCTATCATAACACCTGAGCAGTGCCACAGACTGATCGACTCCATGCCACGCCGCATTGCTGCAGTAATACAGGCCAAAGGAGGCCCAACTAAATACTGAGTGCTGTACATGCTCATACTTTTCATGTTCATACTTTTCAGTTGGCCAACATTTCTATAAATCCTTTGTTTTTATTGGTCTTCAGTAATATTCTAATTTTATGACCAGCACCTGTATTTTTGACCTTCTTCTTACCATCTGCAGGGTCAATTTCAACCAGATCGAGTAAATTAATCAAATTGCAGCCAGTTGATTTCTCATTGGTTACTTTTTTCTAGCCTGATATTCCTAATTTAATTTTACAACAAAAGCGGTATCAGACCAGTATCTTTAACTTTTCTTTCATATTAAGCAGGTGTTGCATATCAAACCCATTGTGAGCATTGGTGTTGTCAGAATCTTTATATCCAATAATGCATATTCTGTTTTGGACAAAATATTTCCGTTTAAAATTTTACATAAGCCCTCGTGTATTTTTCTACAGGTGTTGCTAAGGTGGAGGACTACACTCTCCCCCCCTACTTCGACAGACGGGAGATCCCTCTTCCTGATGTTGCCTATGTGCAGCAACTTACACCAGAACAGAAGTCGCTGAAGGAGAAGGAGAAAGGCTCCTGGGCTTCACTCACCAATGAAGAAAAGCTTGCACGTAAGACCAAATCACACACGGAATTCTTTATTTTATTCATCACACATTTTAGCTTGAGGAAAACTTTTCTCGATATGATATCCTTATTTTTATTTGTATGGAGGGATGGTTTAAACTTGTGTATCTGCCATTTAGTGTACCGCATCAGCTTCAAAGACAGCTTTGCTGAGATGAACCAGGGAACAGCTGAATGGAAGAGTGTGGTTGGGGGCATCATGTTCTTCATGGGTTTCACTGGCCTGGTTGTTCTTTGGCAGAGGAAATTTGGTAAATATGGGCAAATCTGCCTGTTACAAATTTAGTTTTTTTTTTTTTTTTTAAGTTTCAGAGGAAGAAAAGTTGTAATCCATCAGTTTTCTTGCAGTTTATGAATTTATTTGTGTATATTTTGTCCTTGTAGTGTATGGACCTGTCCCACACACCTTTGACCAGTCGTACAAGGAGAAGGAACTGCAGAGGATGTTGGATATGAGAATCAACCCAGTTGAGGGCTTCTCAGCCAAGTGGGACTACGAGAACAAGCAGTGGAAGAAATGATGGGCCAACACAAGCACTGCCTTTGCTTAGGCCTGGGCAAACCCAACTCAAAATATCCAAGAAAGTCTATATTTCTGATTTTATCATTTGTTCCAAATCTTGCAATCTGCATTGTGGAAGACCTCTTCCTCCTACGGTCCCTGTGTATATTAAAATAAAAACGTTTAACCCAAGGAAAGCTCATCAGTTATTTCTTTTATTTGTATCATTTTCCACAAAGAATGCATAACTACAAATAAGACATGGCTTATTTGGCTATCTTAAACAGATTAAGAACGCTATGTTTAATATAAATCCCTTCCTTGTCCCACAATGGTGAAAATCGTTCTCTACATTTTGACCCATCCCCTTCAGGAGCAGTGGGCTGTCATCTTGCAGCACCCAGGGAGCAATCAGGGGTTAAGGGTTTTGCTTACAACCTTCTTAGAGTACAAGCACACTGCTCTAACCCACTAGGCCCACACTCCCCACCTTTTTTTATTTATTTATTTTAGTTTTTGCCTATGTATAACTGTTAGGTATTGAAAAATGTGTTTGCCTCTGCATGCCTGTTAACATGTGCTCTAATGACCTGGTAGGTTGGACTTGGATCTGGGCAAACATTTTAAGAGGAATCATTTAACTATTTTTAGAGTTGCTGTCATCATATTGGTATTATGAAGTACAAAGGTCATCACAGCTCAAGTATATAGTATAGAATATTTGTTGCATTACAGGTGCTGGTCATAAAATTAGAATATCATGAAAAAGTAGATTGATTTCAGTAATTCCATTTAAAAAGTGAAACTTGTATATTATATTCATACATTACATACAAACTCATATATTTCAGATGTTTATTTTGTTTAATTTTGATGATTACAAATGACAACAAATGAAAATCTCAAATTCATCATATCAGAAAATTAGAATATTGTGAAAAGGTTCAAAATTGATGGCCCCTGGTGCCACACTCTAATCAGCTAATTAACTCAAGCCACCTGCAAAAGCCTTTAAATGGTCTTTCAGTCTAGTTCTATAGGCTACACAATCATGGGGAAGACTGCTGACTTGACAGTTGTCCAAAAGACGACCATCGACACCTTGCACAAGGAGGGCAAGACACAAAAGGTCATCGCTAAAGAGGCTGGCTGTTCACAGAGCTCAGTGTCCAAGCACATTAATAGAGAGGCGAAGGGAAGGAAAAGATGTGGTCGAAAAAAGTGTACAAGCAAGAGAGATAACCGCACCCTGGAGAGGATTGTGAAACAAAACCCCTTCAAAAATGTGGGGGAGATTCACAAAGAGTGGACTGCAGCTGGAGTGAGTGCTTCAAGAACCACCACACACAGACGTATGAAAGACATGGGTTTCTGCTGTCGCATTCCTTGTGTCAAGCCACTCTTGAACCACAGACAGCGTCAGAAGCGTCTTGCCTGGGCTAAAGAGAAACAGGACTGGACTGCTGGTGAGTGGTCCAAAGTCATGTTCTCTGATGAAAGTAAATTTTGCATTTCCTTTGGAAATCAAGGTCCCAGAGTCTGGAGGAAAAGAAGAGAGGCACTTCATCCACGTTGCTTGAAGTCCAGTGTAAAGTTTCCACAGTCAGTGATGGTTTGGGGTGCCATGTCATCTGCTGGTGTTGGTCCATTGTGTTTTCTGAGGTCCAGGGTCAACGCAGCCACATACCAGGAAGTTTTAGAGCACTTCATGCTTCCTGCAGCTGACCAACTTTTTGGAGATGCAGATTTCATTTTCCAACAGGACTTGGCACCTGCACACAGTGCCAAAGCTACCAGTACCTGGTTGAAGGACCATGGTATCCCTGTTCTTAATTGGCCAGCAAACTCTCCTGACCTTAACCCCATAGAAAATCTATGGGGTATTGTGAAGAAGAAGATGCAATACACCAGACCCAACAATTCAGAAGAGCTAAAAGCCACTATTAGAGCAACCTGGGCTATCATAACACCTGAGCAGTGCCACAGACTGATCGACTCCATGCAACGCCGCATTGCTGCAGTAATACAGGCCAAAGGAGGCCCAACTAAATACTGAGTCCTGTACATGCTCATACTTTTCATGTTCATACTTTTCAGTTGGCCAACATTTCTATAAATCCTTTGTTTTTATTGGTCTTCAGTAATATTCTAATTTTCTGATATGATGAATTTGAGATTTTCATTTGTTGTCATTTGTAATCATCAAAATTAAACAAAATAAACATCTGAAATATATGAGTTTGTATGTAATGTATGAATATAATATACAAGTTTCACTTTTTAAATGGAATTACTGAAATCAATCTACTTTTTCATGATATTCTAATTTTATGACCAGCACCTGTATATACCAGGCAGGTTAGGTGTTAAACCAACAAAGTTGGGTATATATGTCTTACAAGTATCTTAGCTCCAGATTCTCCAACACAAACTGGACATTCTTTAGGTCAGTGTAATAGTGTTGTTCTTCTGCCATGCTGCTTTTAGATTTTTTTTCTGGCACTTTCGCTTTTCCAGAAGCTACCAGCTGACCTGAACGGAACAGCTACTGCTTAGTTTTGGTTCATCCTTTTAAATACAAATCTGACTAAAGTTCTCCAAGAATATTGATTTTAAAAATGTCACAATAAATTCAAACATCAATTCAGGATTGTCTATAGAATTATTTTCTAAAAACAGTTTGATAGTGTATAGTACAGAATCAATAATGTGGTTTTGTTGAGCAAATAGGAAACCCTAAAATATAAATTTTTTGGGAGGTTGAAAAATTACATTAAATCCTTAAATGTAGAAAAGAATTGAATACATTAATAGAAAAGAAACATCATTGGAAGAAAAATATGCCAATCAAAATGTGGCATGTAGTGTTTGCATTTGTGCAGCTTGTGCTGAAATAAGTCTGATAGAAAATGAACTGGTGGGATGTCGGCATGGTTTGTTTGTGTTTGGGTGTTTCTGGTCTGACCGAAGCTGCACATCATGTTTTTATTGAGGAATTTTATTTACTTTTGATTTGTCTGTGATAGTATTTTTACCTGCAAGAATTAATAACTTTAGTAATGTTTGGAAAATTAGAACACTGGTAATTGATAGCATTATACAGGGGTCTTGAATGTTTTCCAGGCCAAGGAACCCCACACTGATGGAGCGGGGACCCCCTAATTATGTATATTATATCAAATTGTGTTATATCAAACTGGTCCTATAGTCACTCTATTGCATATGGAGTAATGTAACAAAAGTAATTTTGCCCTGGGATTATTAAAGTATTTCTGATTCCTGGTTGATGGGATAGGTGTTGTGAATGAACTGGTGCCCAGCTTGAAAGAGCTCCTGTGTGTTGCTGAATGTGTGCATTGATGACTGAAAGATATCTTCTGCATCCATTTATCTGTTTACTACAGTGGGTTGAATTCAATTCAATTAGTGGGGGAAAGAATGCAGGGGAGAATATATTAAAGTTTAATCAACCAAAATTTTCTTGACCCCCGTGCAGTACCTCTATGGTCCCCCTAGTGTCGCGGACCCCTGTTGAAGACCTCTGGCATTATATATAAATCTGGCCTGCCATACCGGGCGTCTTGGGCATGCATGCAGAAACGTCACCACAACCCGGAAGACTGTGTAGGATCTCAAGAGCTGTTGCTTGAGTGGAGGCGAGGTCAAAGTAGCAATGTTGCTATGTTTACATAGACTGTATCTGATTAACCTCTTCGTTATAACGTAAAACAGGTGTCGGTTAATTCTCTGCTTTAGGAGTCAGAACTAACACAGGTCACGTGCTTGACTACAGGTCGATGCTTAGTTACCGCAGCTTTTCCAGGTAACCGAACTGTTTTAGCTAACTGGTCTGGAGAGACACCATGGGGAACGGAATGAATAAGGTTAGTAATGCTGGGGATGTGGTGACTCTGTCTTTGTTGAGAAACTCATTCTTCTCTATTTAGATGTCATTTCTTTATACTGTCAGTCAAACTGCTTGATGATCCAAACAGCAGGAAAACTCAACCCAGTATGGAGCAGAAATGGCCGTTATTTTAAAGATTCTTCATTGGATTATTTATTCATTCTTAGATTATCTCTTAAAGAAATGCATTACTTGTCGTGTGTGGAATAATGAGCGCATTTTGGGTAAATACGATTTAGCCAGTTTTGGAAAGGCTCAACCTGGTCAGTAGGTGGCGCCATTGCAGATCTTTTTGGATAAACAGTTGAACCTTTTATTTTGTTTTCACTTGGTTTTTGTATGAAGGGCACAGAAGAGGATTAGGTTCACTGGAAAAAAAAAACGGTTAACAGATGTTTAAATTATATTTCAGTTTAATATGGGAAAAAGTCTAAATTCTAACCTTTTCCTCAGAATTCTAACCTTTTTCAGAATTCTAAGTTTTTTCTCAGAATTCTAGCTTTTTTCCCCTCAAAATTCTGACTTTTTTTCCTTAAAATTCTGGCTTTTCCCCCCTCAAAATTCTGGCCTTTTCCCCCTCAAAATTCTGGCTTTCCCCCCCCTCAAAATTCTGGCATTTTTCCCCCTCAAAATTCTGCCTTTTTTTTCTGCTCTAAATTCTGACCTTTTTTCTCAAAATTCTGATTTTTTTTTTCTAATATTAAAAGTTAACAGATTTTACATTTTATTTCAGTTCAATATGGGGAAAAAAAAAGTCAGAATTCTTAGAAAAAAGGCAGAATTCTTAGAAAAAAGGCAGAATTCTTAGAAAAAACTCAGTTAACTTTTTTTTCTCCCCCCAGTGGCCCTAATTCTCTTCTGTAGAAGGGAGTTAAGTATTCAGATTTTACTTAAGTAACCACCACTTATAAATATATTTTTATTGGAGTTAAATAAAATTTAGTCAGCAAAAAATATTTTTATTAAGAGTGTAAAATATTTAGGATTTAAAAGGCTTAGTGTTCATTGAATTCACTCACTCATTGAATTTAATAGGCTTAATTCAAAATAATGTATTTGAAAGACTACAATTCAAATTTTAAAGTGATTCAAATAAATAGCTTTATTTCAACAAGAAGGAATGAAACCAATCCTTATTGTAGGTGAAGAATTCAAGTTGGAGCAGAATAATGCTTTCCTTTGAAGGTATACACTGCTCAGTGTTTTACTTGATCTCTAAATAGCTCAGCATGTTAAAAAAATACCATTAAAACAACAAAGGTAGTATTATTATTTTTCCAAAAAGTCACCTAAATAGATGTTAATAAATATATAATAGTTGGTTCCATACGTCTGCTAATATATGCTAACACAATGTCTCCCACTTTTGGTTGCATACTATTGGGAAATATTTTTTTACTTAAAAAAAAATACATACATGTCCTGTTATTAGGAATTACGTGAACTTCATTAGAACGTGATATTTTACATGATGTCACAGAAAGTGGAAAAAGTGCCTTATTAGTGCTGCTAAGATGATGTCAAAGTTGATGTAAGTTTGTCCTGCATGGCTCCTTCAATCCTTGTATGGCTGTAAAGGACATTTGCTAAGTTGCCTTAAAGCCAAGCTGGGTGAGCCAGAATGAGCAGAGATCTTGAGTTTTGAGAATTTGGTTTTCTTGAGTTGCAAAGGATTAATGAATAATTTTAATGTCTGTGACTTTTGCTTCACAGGTTGTTGACGGGCTCTACCTGGGCAACATAAGAGGTAAGATGAACATGTTTTAGAAAATTTATCCTGCTTTAATTTCTTGGTAAATGCCTAAAAGACAAGTCATGCTAGACATTGATTATAATGATTTTCAATTACTGAGTGTTGTTGACTTTTATTTTTTGACTAACGTCACAAATAGATTCTGTTTGTTTCATTGAGAAGCAAAGTGTCATCTATAAAGAGTTGCTAAAAAGACTGCAATAAGAATCAGTAACCATGTGAGGTTTATGGTAGCTGGTTTGGCTAGACATGCACCCCCTTCCCATCCAAACTGGCATTTGCACTAATTTTAGCTCCATCCACATGATGGCAGAAGCATCACAGCTAAAGTTAGACCAGCTGACAGGAGATCAGGAAATGATCACAGCAGATAATTTAAACTCAGATTTGTCTCAGTGAGAGCTTTAAGCCGTACTGCTCCAGGCCAGTTCTATTATGTGTAAGAAATTGAGCCATAAGGAAGATATCTTCCTTTTTTTTGCTGTTTTGTTTTATGTTTTCTCTCACATCTGTGTTCAGGCATGCATATCACAATAGTGATATCTATTTATTGTCTGAGATTAAGAAATGGTTAAAAGAAGGATGAAGCTGAATGTTGCCAGCTACTAAAGATATTATGTTTAGGAAAATAAACTTGGGTATGGAGGTGAAGCACAATGCCCAGAAAAGAAAGCACTGATATTCTACATGTAAACTCCTGAGGTGAAGATTTGATAAAGATTTATCCAGTGAGGAGCTGCCTGGAAGTCAAAGAAATGTTGTCTGAGAGTAATAGCTCGGACATCTATAAAACTAACTCCTTACGTAAAACAGCTCTGCAGTGAGTACAGCCAGCTTAGTTTTCATTAGTAGTGACTGTCTTCTTGGGAAAAATGTTCATTCAAAACACAGTAATTCTACTCGCAATTTGATAGATCACTATCTATAGATCATTTTCTATATATCATTATCTATAGATCATTATCTATAGATCAGGGGTCACCAACCTTTTTAAGTCTTAGAGATACCTTCTGGGTACTGAGAGCTACCAACACTGACCTATGAATGGACAGCGTTCACCTAAAACTTCATGCATAATAAACACATTTTTAATTGCTAATTTTCTTTCAAACATTTCCATTTTGAAATATTTATAAATGCAAAGGTGATTAAAACAGAATAGCAACAGATTACAATCCAAATTTAAACCTCACTGGTGAGTTGTGCTGTTTTCAGAAGATGCTGAGGGCTCCCCATGTGGACCTTGAGGGCCCTTTGGTGCCCGCAGACACCTCGTTGGTGACCCCGTTATAGATCGTTATCTGTAGATCACTATTTATCAGACTGTAAGCAGATCACTTAATTATCTGCTAAAAAAGGTGTTTTTTTTTCTGATAATACAGCAAAGCTTAAAGGAATAGTACACCCAAAACATGATTAGCCTTCATTTTCTACTCACCTCCATGCTGAACAACACTCTGGAGTACTTTTTTGATATCTCAAATGCATCTGGAGATCTGTGAGGCTTCTTGCTGTCTGCTGACATTCAAATAATGGAGGTCCATGGCGCCCGAGACAGAAAGGTCCATAAAAGTCCACAAAAACGTGTCAATATTCCTCCATACTGCTCGTCCAATGTAATCCAAGTGTCCTGAGTGGGTAGCATCCAGAATTCACTCGAAACGAAGTCATTTAGAATGTTTTTAGAGCATAAACAGTAGTGTATAGGATTTCCTAATAGCGCCCCCATGCGCGCTCACGATTCTACGGAAGCCGGCAGACCAAACCGGAAGAAAGTGCGCATTCAGCGTCTGGTCTGCCGATAATGCAAGCGTAGAAGAAGAAATGTGCTGTTTACCTGTGCAAAGAAAGAAACAACGAAAGAAAAATGTCTGAGGACTTCAGTGTTGAGGAAGAGCATGAGTTCTTTGCCGAGCTGAATGCGCTGGTTTGGTCTGCCGGCTTCCATAGAATCGTGAGCGCGCATGGGGGCGCTATTAGGAAATCCTATACACTACTGTTTATGCTCTAAAAACATTCTAAATGACTTCGTTTCGAGTAAATTCTGGATGCTACCCACTCAGGACACTTGGATTACATTGGACGAGCAGTATGGAGGAATATTGACACGTTTTTGTGGACTTTTATGGACCTTTCTGTCTCGGGCGCCATGGACCTCCATTATTTGAATGTCAGCAGACAGCAAGAAGCCTCCCAGATCTCCAGATGCATTTGAGATATCAAAAAAGTACTCCAGAGTGTTGTTCAGCATGGAGGTGAGTAGAAAATGAAGGCTAATCATGTTTTGGGTGTACTATTCCTTTAAGAAGGAAAAAAAAAAACTTGTCTGATACTTATGCAAAACTTATTTCAGACTTTGTGCCTGTTTTAAAAGATCTTAAACGTTTAGCTCTTTTTCATAAGAACCTTTAACATTTGGTGTATTTGTATAGCATTAATGCATTTTACTTTATTCAGTGTTTTTCAAATCTAACTATCTTTTTATTTGATAATTATACACAATGTTGATTCATTCCATTTCTGCATAAACTGTTATACAATCATTCTGTGCTGGAACAACAGTTTTGCTTTTTTATCTTTCTATTTTTTCACTTGCACAACTAATAATAAATCTAAACCAATGGTACTTTTTTGTTGATTCTGTAAATTTCCTAGACTTGAGGACTCAGGATGAAGAAAGGACATGAAATGTTATCTATAGTTAAACTCAGACACTAGTTGTTGTGACCTATAGCATTATTTTATGTGTTTTATCATTTATTCGCATAAAAACAAATCATTTTATGTCAGCCTTAACTAGAGCAACTGATTTTTTTCTTGTAATTACTTGTAATGACCAGATTTTTTTTTGTTCTGTTTTTTAGCAAACATCTAATATGATCTGCATCCTATATAATAAATATGACTACTGTGAGGTTCCTGATTCCTTTTATTAAATTTGTGCAAACTTCCATGAATGGTGGGAAGCTGTGTTAAATCAGCAACAGATACATTTCCACTGACATATTTTCCTCAAACATTTGTAAACGTTTTACATTCAAACTGTCGAGTTGGATAGAATTTAATCCTTTAATCCTGTTTCATTTCTTTAGTGAAAAATTGTCTGTATGTGAATTTTCCCAAAAGAATAAATTGACTTTTGCTGACAATAATAATCCAAAAATATAAACAAATACCTGAGTGATGTTTCTTATTTTCTTGCCACAGATTCAGAGAACAGAGGAGGTCTCTCCAAAAATGGAATCACCCACATCCTTTCTGTGTACAACAACGCTAAGCCAGTATATGAGGTTAGTGAAGAAACCAGCCATTTTGGTCTGTTTTGTGGTATATTTTTTGATTAATCAAACCAGTGTTTCCTGTGGAAATTTTGATCTAGAATTGCTGTAGGCTGTGCCTCTAAGCACAGTTCAATCTGTTAACCAGTAGGGGGAGCAAGGGATCTTTGGTCCTTGTACCACCTCTGTAACAGAAACTATTGTGTGATGGCAAAAGGAGTTATTGTCAAATACTTTGCTGCTAGTTTAGTTGACACAGATTTAAAAGTTTATGATGTATAACTTACAGTACGTCACATTAAACAGAACTGTAAATCAGCTAAACTCACAATCAGAAAACTGCAACTAACTGCTTTTATCCTTTATTTACAGGACATGAAGTACCTTTGTATTCATGCAGATGATGCTTCCAGTCAGAACCTGTGAGTAAACAATTTGCCTTATTCCTATTTATGTTATCATTAATTATTTTTAGTTTTTAATCTTTATTTACTGCTAATACTTGCTTGGTTAATATAATAAGGGTCAAAGTAAAAGAAAAACTCACCATAAGGTTTTTTTTTTTTACTTCTTGTGGCACAGTTTGACATATGATACATTTGAAACAAAACCTTTAAGATGCAGCAAATCCATGTGTAGATGAACATTGTGCGTGACATACAGCTTTGCAGGGCCTTGTTTGTTTATTTAACAAAACCTGAGTAAAAGTAGCAGCAGAAGGAGGCAATATGGTTAAAAAATGAAATCTCTGAATTTTTTTTTCGTACTAAATCCCATTTATCGATTTGGTATTTATTATTTTATTGTTAAAAACAAAAAATTACCAAAATAATTTTCAAAAACTAGCTTTTAATTTAAGTATCCCTTCTGCAAGTTGAACTGATTCAAAGTTCAGCTGTGAAGCATGATAGTAAAACAACTGGCAGGCCTTTCCATTGTAAACAAGGAAAACATAAGATGCAAGATGTCTGCAGCCTGTTGCATGACAAACTGATATCACCTTGAACTATGGAAGCTCAAGAATTTCAAAAATTCAGGGAAAAAAAAGATTTTCCAGAGATAAAATCTTCATAAATAGAACCTTTGATTATGTGATAAAATCATTGTATTGCCCAGCCATACTAAAAGATGACATCATCATTAATAGGTTGAACCAGTTTTTCACTTTCAGTCTCCCATCTATGACCCACATTTTCGTGTTTCTCTAGTTTTCTCAGATCTGTGGATATTCATTTATGTGATGTGTTCTAAAATCTAAAGGCAGAATTTCAGTTTGGTTCATTTATAGACCTTGGTTGGTTTTGTTTTCTACTCTTGATATTATTTATTTTTTTTTCTATTTGAGTTAAGTTTGATTTAAATAAACTTGGTGAAACTTTTTCACTAAGCTTGATGCTCTCAAACTTGTGATTGTTTATCCAAAAAAAAAAAAAGTTTCAAAGTTTTCCAAAGATAAAATGTATAATTTCTGAAGAGAAGGGGTGTCGTCTCAGAATCCTTTTGGAATAGAATAGCACTACCTCACCGTTGCTCCTCACCTACTACACTTTAATGTAAAAGTCAATCCACCTGTATATAGGCCATCCTGATTGTACATATGACACCTCAAATCTCTGTGTTACTCCCTTGTATTTTTTATTTTTTTATTTCTTATTTTTATTTAGTTTTTCATTGTGTGTGATACAAGTACACTTGCACCTTAATTCTTACACTGCAAAAAATATAAATCTCAATAAGTTATTTTTTCTTAAAATAAGTGTGTTTTTTCTTGATTTGAGGAGGTAAGTAAGACACTTTGCCAATGGAACAAGACAATTTCCTTTTAAAATAAGAAAAAACTATTTTATCGTCTTATTTCAAGTAAATATTATCTAACTATCTTATTTTAAGAGTGAAAATACTCATTCCATTGGCAAATCATCTTATTTACCTGCTCAAATTAAGGCTAAATATACTTAATTTAAGCCATTTTTTACTTATTTCTGGATTGTTTTTGCAGTGTATTTATCTTGATATACTGTATATACAGTGCTTGCTTGTTTATTCTTAATGCACCTTTTCCTCCTTGTTTGCACCTTCTTTAATTACAATGCCAATATGTGACCAGTGAATTTCTCCGCTGTGAGATCAATAAAGCTCATCTAATCTAATCTAATCTAATCTAATCTAATCTCTAATGTAAGTAAAATAAAACTATCAGCTTTTTTCTAAGTTTACTTTCTCCAATGTTAGCATACTAACTGAGGCCTGTGGGATCAACGATGGAGACGTAAAGGATGCAATTCAAAAATGAAAACAAATTTAGTAAAATACCATAAACAGACTAGTTTTTCATAATATATAATTCCAATTTTCCTAACATCATCTCCAGTTTTCCTCCTTGTACTACCAACAAGAATGTAGTTTTTCTAAAACTAAGTGGAGCCTCTGTCGTTGACTATTTTCTTTGAATGTTTTTTTTTCCTGCTTAATCCTCAAAAATGGTGTTTAGGGGAATCAAAAATGAGATTTACTTTTAATCCGATGACCTATGCCCATATTTCTAAAGGAGATTCAAGAATTTCCCACCTGAGAGACGGCCAATAACGTTGACTTTCACACTCTCCTTAGATTTTAAGTGAGGTTAAAGAACTAGATACTGCTTCTTGACTGGAGTTTGAGTAGACTAGGTGGTTTATACTTTGACATGAAGTCAGTAATGTACTTAAATGATTTATAGACCAGCAGAAATATTTAAACATCTTTTTTTCTGAGAGACTGGGAACCGATTTAATGATGTAATGTAGCTACAGGGGGATTACACTACTTAGCCCTCTGGGACAGTCTATGGCTGGTTTCCAGTCAGAAGAGTTGGGCTAAACGTTTAACCTTAACTTCAGGAAGAACAGTTTGGTTTTCATTCCGGCCGTGGAACCCTGTGGAGCCGTACAAGACATTTGGTCTTCTCCCTCATGGTGGCCTGTGGGGGGCACCAAGGAGCATAGAGATGTGGGCAAGTGAAGTTTTAGAGTCTCTATACTCCAGCTAATGATTAATTCATTACTAAATGACGATCATTTCAATAAGGATTCATCGTGATTAATTGTTTCAGCCCTACTTCCCTCAGTAAAGCTGTGCTGAAGGAGATACCTGGCGAGTAGAAGTCAGGGCGGCTCTGCTAAGACTGCTGCTAAGAATGGCTACGGGTACCACTTAAAGCCTTCAGTTCTAATAATGATAATTTTCTCCTTGGAGCTCATGAAAACATAACCCTTAATTCTTAGAAGGGAATAATGTTCAGCAAATAAAAAAAAAATTGTCAGTGCTGAAATATGGTAAAAGTAGGTTAAATACCTGCTCAAAGGTTTTTATTATTAAAAGTTTTTTTTAATATACACTTACAATCTGCATTTAATTAAGATTAATTTGTCTAAGTGTAAGATGTACCTGTAATATTCTCAAATGAAAAATGGCAATAAAAAAGGTTCATGGGGCCAAATCAGGCTCCCCTCCCTGAGAAGTAAGAGTCTAGAAAGGAAAACTTTGCTTCTCTAGTAACAGTTAAACTAACCACACGTTATGTCAGCTATGTTTACGTTTTCTGGAGGCCGATGAAGTGCTGAGGCTTCCATTGTTATGGTTGACAGGCTGGGTGTTGACAGCTATGAGCTGCACCATCACCCTGAGCACTGACTGCTACCACAACACGTTAGTCATAGTCAATACCTTTCTACAAGGTCTGTGACTTCATATGATACTGTTTTTTCTAATTACAAGCCGCATTCAAGTGGAAAGGAAACCCAGTTTACTTGGTTGTAGTTGGAGCATAAATGAGCCATCTTCTTTGTTGTTAAAAACATTGGTAACTCATTGGAGAGCCACTTTGGAGTTTGAGAAATACATATCTCTGTGTTCTCCATTTAGAGCACTGATCACAGATTTGTTTAATCAAAAATAGGCTGATGACATTTCTGAAGAGTTATAACATATGAATCCCAGACAGTAATTAAAAAAAATAAAAATAGTCTTGAGTTTTATCTCTTTTAATCATCAGTCGGTTCAGTTACCAACGTTAAATAGACGCTGAAGAGGAACTTGTTTTTGGTGAAACACCTAATGAGATTTTGACTGTTGTGGCTGTTTGGCTGTTCTTGATTGGGTTGGGTTGTGGTGAGGTGCGGTGGGGGTGTCTGACCTCTGCTGTCGCAATCAGGCGTCGTTCCCTCCGGCTGCCGAGGAAGGAAACCTCCCAGTGACATCTGGCTGTTTGCTTCGACCACCCAGGCCTTTATAATAAGCCCTCTCTGTCACAATCACTGGTCTGACTGAGGAGGAGAGGGTGAGGCCAACCGCCGTCCTGCTACCCTCACCATCACCCTGGGGCCTCTATGGTCAGACCTAAAGGCCCTTCTTATACGATTGGTACATGACAGAGAACAGCATTACTGGTCTGACGGGCTTCTTACTGTATGTGAATGCTAGGCTGCTGTTAATCTGTCTCATTGGGTGTTGGAAACTCATTTGCTTTTCATAAGCATTTTGTTTTAATGAACAAATTAATACATCAAGAGGACGATGACTCATTTTTGTCAGTATTTCTAGATTTGCAATAATGCACTGGTGTCCACAGGTCCAAAGTGGTGCTGGAACTAAGCAAACTTTTGTCAATTAAGGAAAAAAAAAACAAGAAAATCAGCATATAATATACCAAACATACCGCATATTTGCAGAAGCTCATTTTGAATTTAAAAAATACAGCAGCTTCTGCTGGTTCAAGCTTTATAGTCTGTCTTTTTCAAACCTCAAACTTCTGTCACAAGTTAGGTTTCTGCTCATGGAACAAGACCGCCGGAAACTTTTGTGCTAGGAGGACTGAGCGAAGTGCTGAGGGAGACATTTTAAAGAAGAGTTGAGATCTCAAGGAGGAAAAAAAAAAGCGCCAGTCAGTCTATTTTGGCTCCAGCCTGTTACCGAGTCTCCTGTTGAGTAACCAACATCTGCTCCTCTAGAGACACTGTTATCAGCCACGCACGTCTTGCAAAAACGAAAGGATGTCATTGTTTGCAGACTGTTAGTATGCAAGATGTCTGAGCAACAGGAGCTTTATTTTGTTGTCTTTGTATCAAACCTTAAAGTGATGCATTTACCAAAAAGCTGGTTGTAGCCTGCTTTATCACAAACTCTGTAAGCACACTCACCAGGTTGCTTGCATGACATGAGTAGAGTGGTAGAAAGTTTTTTTTTTTTTAAACAAATAAACCCCTAGCAATTTCTTCAGAACGATTGAAATCTAATAAAACCACCATAGGCTTCTCTGTAAACCACTTTGTGTATTTGCAATTTCTACAGACCCCATCACAATTTGTAAAACGTATTGGAAGCTCATTGTTTTGGCCTTTCACTAGAGTTTCAGTTCAAGGTGTCTTTTCTCAGATCCCATTTATTGTAACCCCTCTTCAACTCCACAGCCTGCATTCCTGAATAACAGTTTGTGTTTGTTTTCTTATTTCAGACATGTTTGCATGTACTGCATGTTGCACAATCTGTTCTTTTTCTCTGGCCAACGTGGTTCATGTGTTCCTTTCCAGATTGCAGTATTTCAAAGAGTGTATCGGCTTTATCCACGAGTGTCGCCTCAACGGTGGAGCTTGTTTGGTTCATTGGTAGGTTGGCGACCAGCTTCTTTGTAGCAGCTCAGGGTGTCGAGTTCTAAATGATGTTAAAGAGAGTATCTTTCCTTCATAAGGGGTTTTTAATAAGTTTTATGCTCTTTGGGTCTGCAGCTTACCTGCACCCTAATGAGCATGAAAGTCCATATTATTTTGTCCTCTTCATTATCATGAAACTTTAATTTAAAACAAGAATTGTGTGCATACATTTATGATTATTTGTTGGTGCATCCTTATCCACACGATATGTACAGGTTCAAACGTATAAATATGCCCCCAATAATATATATAGGAATATTAACTATCCTTTGATGAATTAGCAACTATCAAGAGCTCCTGGCAGATATCCTCCTGGATGTTTGACCTCTTCTCGGCAGAATGCATGAGGATCATTAGAATATTCCTGTCTCAGATCCATCGGAAAAACATAGTCTGCAAATTATCAGTGGAGATGAGGTTTGGGTGATTTCTGTCACTTTATAAAAGGCTGCTTCATCTCTTCAGAAGCATGTTGAGATCCCTCCCCAGTTCAAACACCATAACTTTGCCATCCAGCGCAATTCTCACTACATTTGTAAGTTTATCTTTTAGCTTAAATTGGATGGGTCAGCCCATTATGTTGCTTCACTGTGCTTTAGAGCAGGGCAGCTGTGATTCCACGATAGTTTCAGCTCTAAGTGCTTCAGCCCTCAGTAGGTTGATGCAGAGAAGTCTTCACAATGACCCTGAATATTTTTAAGGTTTCTTCATGTTTCTCTCCGCTGCTGAAACATGCCTTATTCTCAGAGGGGTTTTACAAAGAAACTGACTTGATCCAAGTTGCTTGGCTTCTTTGATAGATGGCCTTTATCATTGACACTCATCTCTGAGTTTGAGTTTAATATTCATTCTAGAAATAATTTGGAACTGATTTGTCTGTTAGCTGCTCCTTTGTACTGGATAATTTGCATAAATGAATAAAGATCTGTTTTGCTTGTGAAGTATCTTTCTTGTGTGAACTTAATATATAAACATTCATCAGTATGAATAAATATGCTGAAGGAAAATTTATTAAAAGGCCTCATGGAGATGGCTATTAATATGTTAATCCACAACACTTTTTCAAGGAGTCCCCACTTTCTAAGCATGGTGGTGGTAGCATCATGCTGAGACTTTTTCTCCTGTGTGGGCAATGCTAGGTGTCACAAGCTGGACGGTGATTGGGTCACGTTGAAACAGAAACGGGAAACTAATTTCTTTTAAATCTACTCTATGAATGCTGCCAAAAAAAATTTTAATCATGTATTAACAAGCATGTATATATTTGAGCCTGTGCACAAAACTACGTGGCAAACTGGATGTGATAAACTCTATAATGAACCCAATTCTTTTTTTAAATGTCTTATTTAAATAGTTGGTTCTGTGATGATGATTCCAGATCATCCAGATCCTTTTTGTTATTGAAGCAGTAAAAATTCATAAATGAAACCCTGTGACCTGGATGCTCATGATGACTCCTTGTAATTATCAATATACCAGAGAGCATGGTCTCCAATATGCTTAGAATATTTTTGTTATTATTTGAATGTTACCAGATTGCTATATTACATTGTAATGTCACTGTAGCCTTGCAGGTGTTTCACGCAGCACCACCATTGTTGTGGCCTACCTGATGACCGTGACCCACTACAACTGGGAGGAGTGCTTGACTGCTGTCATGGCTGTTCGCTCCATTGTCGGTCCAAACTATGGCTTCCAGCAGCAGCTGCAGGAATACCAGAATACACAAGTCTCTGAGGTAAACATGATGAATGCAGAAACAGAAAGTAGAAAAACTGACTTGTGAGTATTGAAGCTGCAGGTATTCTGGATCATAAGGGGAAATATTGTAGATTCTCTTAAACATGGCAGCAAGTAGGTCCCTGTAGATGGTTGTATGCATTAATTGTGATTCACCATTCGAGGAGGGACAGGATGTGACACATCCAGCCATAACAGTGCACATGCAGACTGTGGTTAACCAGTCAACTGTTAATCGCAGCATCTCACATATGCTTAGAACCGTCCCTCAAAGCAGTTTATTTTTCTGTTTCTTGCAGAGGACAACAAACAACTATGGTTTGTTTCACTGTAAACAGTAACGGTTAGATATATATATTTTTCAGTTTATTTATTTATCATCTTAAGGGACTTTAAAAAGGCAGTTCTGTCAGTTTGTACAGTCAGGGGGCTAAACATTTTTACTAAGAAAAACTAGCCGATTGCATCAAGTCATTGACTTGCAGGACACCCACCTCCAAAATTAGCTTGTAGCGACAGTAGATATTGGTTTGCATTTTTTTAGTATGCATGCAACAATAGTAGAGTGGAAAAACTCTTGGCCATCTGCCAAGAACTGGGCTTCACGGAGAGAGAAGCAGACACACAAAAGGAATATGATGGCAATGATCCATACATCCTCTCCATATTAGGAAAGGTAACAGTAAAATTGCTCCTCAGTTGACTGTCTAGGAAAGAAACGGTTAAACAGACAAGCTTTTATACAGCTTTTATGTCAAAGGGAGGAAAGAGAGCAAATACAATTAGTCACAGTAAAAATTGTGTGTAGGACAGAAATGGGACTTAACACTAAAAAAAACAGCCTAACTCTATCATCTACAACTGAAGGTGTTGATGGTATGGACACCTGATATTTCTTTCCAGAATGGTGTCACAGACAAAAAGGAACAAAAGAGATTAAGCTATTATGACAAGAAAAAGCAGAGAGAACATAAAGTTGGGGTTGTACTAAAAAATACTCCAGAACTAGAGAAAAGCAATAGAATGAAGTGGAATGTTATTAAATTGTCTCTATGTGCTCCAGCAATCTAAGCCTATAGCAGCATAACTATAGAGATAGCTCACGATAACCTGAACCACTCTAACTAGAAGCTTTATCAAAAAGGAAAGTTTTAAGCCTACCCTTAAAAGTACACGGGGTGTTTGCTTCACAGACTAAAAGTGGTAGTTGGTTCCACAGTAGAGGATCCTGATAATTAAAAGATCTGCCTCCCATTCTACTTTTAGAAATTCTAGGAACCACTGATAAACCTGCAGATTAAGAGCAAAGGAACAATCATCTCTCTGATGTAAGATGGAGCTTGGCCATTTAAAGTCGTAGGGAAGCGGCTGTTCCAACTCCTCCTGAGTGGTGCCCAGCTTTACACGAGTGAATAAAGCGAATATGATTTGTCGATTATCAAGGGGGCGGGATTGTTGTTAACAAAAGGTTCACAAACATGTTTGGTTGTGGCATCTTGCTAACCAGTTTGCAATTTAGTGCTAGTAGGTTCCCAATGGGAAATTACATTGAGACCAAGTAGCACTTAGCAACAACACTGTCAAGGAACCAGTGGTGTCAAAAGTAAACACTTTTGTTACTTAAGTAGAAGTATAGATACTGCAGTTTAAAAACACTCTGGTAAAAGTGGAAAAAGTACTCCAAAAACTACTTAAAGTATAAAAGTCAGTATATACGGTAGTATAAAACAGCCAGATGCCACTATATGATTTAAAAGCTCAATTTTTCAACCATTTCGAAAAATTCTTTGAGATAGGGCCAAGGATGAGGGAGGTCTTGTTGGTCTCCGTCTCCATCTCTCGATACGCTCTCGCCTGTGTCCGACCTTTCAGAAATGTCAACATATGTTTCTGAATCCAACATTGTAGCATGGCATAGACAATTCACGTTTGCAGTTTGAAGAACACCTGCTTGCTTCTGATGATTTCCTTCAGCTAACCAATGAGTGTTTGCGTTATGACTCATCCAATTACACTAGTTTTCACTAGATGTGGATGGCACCAATGATCTGCATTGGATGGCGCACATGACATGAAATAAATATGTATAAACATTAAACAGAAGCCAAGAGTAACGAGTAACGTTCTTTTAAAAAATGTAAGGAATAGAAAGTACAGATACTTGTGTGAAAATGTAATGAGAAGAAGTCAGAAGTAGGAAGAAAAATAAGTAATGGAGAATGTTACATGAGATCTCTGCAAGGAACGCTATGGACAGCCGAAACATGCAAGAGGAGGATTGTAGATGAGTCTCCTCTGTCATGCATTTTTTATTTAGAGGAGGAAAGCGGGGACGAATTTATTGTGGAAGAGGACACCAGGGCGGCAGAAGCTTGGTTTGGTGTAGAAGGCTTACAGCCGTACATGTTTGAACCCTTGCCTCGCAACGCAACCAGTTCTGTTAGCTCTACGCCTGCTGAAGACACAGATGTCCATCCCCGTGAACACAGGGACGTAACTCAATGGTGAAGCAAATGATTCTTATTTCTTATTTCAGCCGTTGTGTATATTAGCTGCGACAAATGAATCAAGATGCTATGACTGAAAAAATTTGATTGACAGATGACCGTTGATATATGATTGACCGAATTTAGGTGTACAAGCTGACGTATAACTAACTGGCCTGCATAAAATAACGGAAAGAAAACAACACAGATTTTAAGACTGTTTGTTTATTTTTTTTAATAGGAAGTTTCTAAATTTTGGTGTGATAAAGAATACATTTATATATATGTTTAAGCCAGAATGATTTGACATTCAAATATGACTTCCCTTCGACTTTAAGGCTTTATATGTGAGAACAGGGATTTTAACTTCCATTCTGGATTTAACCCGAAGCCAATGAAGAGAAGCTAGGATAGGAGAGATATGATCTCTCTCTTTAATTTTCATCAGAACTTTTGCTGCAGCATTTTGGATCAAAGGCTTTTAACTACAATCTGTGGACTTCCTGATAGTAAAGAATTACAATAGTCCAGCGTTGAAGGAAAAAAATGCATGGACTAGTTTCTCAGTATCATCCCATTTCTCATTTTTGCAATATTCTGCAGATGAAAGAAGGTCATTCTAATATCCTGTTCTGCAATGGAATTTAAATGTCCTGAACAAAAATATCGCCAAGGTTGTTTTACTTTATTAGCTGAGATCAATTTATTCTGATCCTGTGGATATAGATACGCTCACCAAATAATCCAATTTGATTATTGCTAAAATAAAAATGTTTATTTCAGTAATTAAGTCACTAGAGTTAATAGAATAAAGGTTTGCAAAGATTATTGTAGGTCTAATCAGTCAGGAGTGGAAAAATGCAGACATTTGACCTGTTTAAAAATTGCATTCAGTACTTTCAGTCTTACGAAACTATATATAGTGTGTATATATATATATATATATATATATATATATATATATATATATATATTTTATTGATATATAAAAATATACATTTAGAGTCTAAAGTCATAAATTTTTCCCTTTAAGTTCATCCGGTGCCGCAGTGAATAAATTTTCTTCCACAAGCACCTGCTGAGTGGCCCATCAAAGACTACTGGTACATAGAACCAGTTAAAGGCAAAGAATGGAGTCTATATATGTCAATCCAGACCACAAAGCATCTGCTCACACAGTCAGCCTTCACCATGTGTTGATATGAGGCTCCCTGCGCAGCCAAGGAGAAATTATCTCTGATCAAGTCATAGCCAGAGATCGCTGCTGCTGTGAATGGTGAAGACAAAGGTTACAAACTGTAACAGTACAGAGAAGTAGGAGAACAGAAAGGGACTGATAAGAATGAGTAGCTGGATCGTGTTACAACGCAGCATAAACAAACCCTGAGTGCGTAAAGCGCCGCTGCAGGTGGAAACAAACTGACCACTTGAGATTTGTTGTTCACTCTAATGGTGCATTCAGACTGAGTGCAGTGTCCGATGATTTCTGCCAGCACCATGGGGAGTTCACTGCTCTGCATTTCAGATGCACAGTGTTTACACCCTGGAATGCATCATCAAATAGGAGGAGCTTCAGCTGTGTGAAGCTGAGACACCATTAGTGCAGGTTTGTGCATTTGAAATGGTCATTTGTACAAATTAAGTAAATAATAATAATAATAAAAAAACATAATGTGTGCTACTTTTGTTTCATAGATATCGAAGCTTCTTTTTTTTTTTTTGGTCTTCTGGAGGTCGACAATTACCCCCACTATGCTCAGAATTTAGTTAAAAATGATTTCATGTTATTTTACAGAATAGCCTGCACACAATGGTGCATCACTGTTTTAGAATTTAATGCACACCATTCACTTATGCTGTGGCCACAAATAATTACATCATGAGAAAAAGTCTGCATTAGATTTAGTTTTCAAGAGAATGAATCAGTGTTTTGTGGGCATGTTTTATTTTTTTATTTTTATTTATTTTTCCCATGTCAGTTCCCAGGCTCCATAAACTATTTTCCATCTTTGGATTTCTGTTACAAACACATTTGCATTTAGTATTTATAATGCTTTGCAGAAGTGTTCAATTTCCTTTCAAATGTTTTCAAATTACAACCAAAAAAACTCCAATGTATTGGGTTTTTTATGTGATGGACCAGAAAAGGCAGTGCATAAGGGTGAAGTTGGAGGACAGGAACATCTCACAGAGTTCTGTTTTATTTGTTAATTTGAAGATGAGACACAGGGAGGGTTTTTGACGCAGCCTGGTAGGGCTCCCAAGTAGACCAATATTAAGAGCAGCTTTCAGCAGTGTTATAGAGTCTCTGGATAAGCGGCACAATTCAGGGTTAAGAATCTGCTTTTTAGACAATGCTTAACTTTGTACCCCACAAATCTGGACTGCATTTAGTAAGAAATAATTCTTTTTTTTTCGTAAGAAGTCCTGTTTGCAGAGTCTGCAGGCCAAATAGAAATCACAATAACCATGTGACAGAAGGTGGTCTGGTCAGATGAGACCAAAATTAAACAAATCTGGCTTGTAAGCAAAACACTGTGTGGTAGAAAACTGACTCTGTGCATCAAACTGAAACCAGTCTCACCACCTTGACACACAGTGGTAGCAGCATCATCCTGTGGGCCATCTATTCTTCTGTAAGCGCAGTGGAACAGGTCAGAGTTAATGTAGGGACAACGTGATCTGAACACCGGTCTATCCTGGAGGGAAAACAGTCAATGCAGTTATTGGTGGGTATTTAAAGTACTTTTGGAAGCTCAAAAGCTAGTGCTTGCCACACTATTAAGATTTTTATTAGCACAAAGTGTTGAAAACCACCATTCAGTTTCCTTCCACTTTACAGTTGCTAAGTGATTTATGTTGCGCCATCACAAAGATACCAATGAAACAGATATCTGTGAAAGGAATATTGATTCTTTTGGAAGGTCACCTGTTATTGTGAGAAAATTTTTCAAAGTAAGAGTCCCATCAGTAATATATTAATATTAAAATTAATATATTAATTTCCTTATTAATCTATAGTAATGTATAGTTTGGGTGATATGATCAGTGTTAAATTGATCAAGCCTGCAGCAGCTGGCTGATTTAAAATCTGGATCATTTGCTGAAGACACACAGTGTGTGTCACGACAGCGATGTAAGAGAAGGGGAACTGCAGGGGGTTTGCTTGGATTGCATTAGCCTGGGCAAGGCTCATCACGTGCTATATTACTGTCAGCATCTTGCAACATAGCATGACCAAAAAAAAAATCTGCTCAGGGTTTGGAGACGTTGCACTGATTTCTAGGATTTAAGAGGAAATACGTTTTCTGTCTGTGATTTTCCCACGTGTGTCAGAGAGAAAGTAAAAAAAAAAAGAAATGAAAGCTTTGCAACATATGAAGAGATTAAGATAAATAATGTAAATTATGTATCTAAAGTTGTAAATATGCTGTAAAACTCAGCAACACTAAACACTGGTAAAGTAAATGGATTATTATAGTGGAGCCTGTTTTGACCTTGAAACCTGATCAGTTTTTAAAACCATAAAATTTTAAAAGTACAGAAATATAATATGTTATACAGACGTATGTTATTTATTATCATCTAGTAACTGAAAAAGTGTCAATCTTTATAAAAATATTAATATTCACAGAATTCTTTTTCTTTTTTTTAAAAGGACAGCGTTTCATTTGTGCAGTGTTTTTGCACTGATTTATATTACCGGTAAGACTTCCTGTCACATTTATTTGAACATATTGCATGTAATTCATCCATCCATTTTCTGTCACGCTTTATCCCATGTGAGGGGTGCTGGTGCCTATCTCCAGCTGTCAACGGGCGAGAGGCGGAGTACACCCTGGACTGGTCGCCAGTCCATTAATAACCATTCACCCACACCTAAGGAGAATTTAGAGAAGCCAATTAACCTAACAGTCATGTTTTTGGACTGTGGGAGGAAGCCTGCATGCTCAGGGAGAACATTCAAACTGCATCCTGCAAAGCAGCAGTGCTACCCACTGCACCACTGAGCAGCTCATAGATGGATGAATATTTATTTAAACATACTGCATATTAGTAATTCTTCAATTCAGAATAAAATGCAATCCCTCGATGGATTTAGTTCAACGTTACTTGGACCTGTTGGTCTTCAATGCCAGACTAAACTAAAACCGCTATTGTTAGGACCTTTTCAAATAATATAAGGTCCAGAAACCAAAGTCTGCACACATTTTTAAAATAATCTGTATTTAGTCTTTGAGGCTCTCTTCGTTGATTTAAATCTCCAATAGTTATTGATTTGAATAGAAAAAAGGAAAAAATGGGGAATTTAAGTTAATCAAGAAACCACAAAAAAGACATCCAATACCCCTCTCACACAGAGGTCAACCACCTTTTTAAGTGTCATTTTATTTTTGGCTAATTCTTATACCACAATCAACTTTTAGTGGCAGTGGGAACAGCTCACTGATGCTTGTCAAACCGGGTCAAACGACTTGATAAGCGACCCGCGTTAAAATCACACCGGCTCTTTGAGAACATCAGATCTATCCGCTGAATTACACGATACCATTGAACACAACATACGGACATCAACACTCTGCACTCTGCACCAGTCAGTGTGATCTAACAAGCCGAAATAACTGTCTACATTTTTTCAGTCATAGCATCTTGATTCATATGTCACAGCTAATTTATGCAACGGCTGAAATAAGAAATAAAAATCATTTACTTTACCATTGACTTACGTCCCTGTGTTCACGGGGATCCCCGTGATGGACGCCTGTGTCTTCCAGAGACGTAGAGCTAACAAAACTGGCAGAGTTGCGAGGCAAGGGCTCAAACATGTACGGCTGTAAGCCTTCTACGCCAAACAGGCTTCTGCCACCCTGGCTTCCTGTTCCAGAACAACTTCATCCCCGCTTTCCTCCTCTAAATAAAAAATGTACGACGGAGTAGACTCATTCACGACCTCCGACACAAAACTCTCCTCCTCTTGCATGTTTCCGCTGTCCATAGCGTTCCTTGACAGTGTTGATGTTAAGTCACCAAATTCGTGCTGCTTGGTCACAATGGAATTTCCCATTGGGAACCTACTAATACTAAGATGCTAACTGGTTAGCAAGACATTTTTCTGAGAAACGGGCCACAATCAAACTTGCTTGTGAACCTACCGCCCCAACAATCCCGCCCCCTTGATAATCAACACCACTTGGGAGAATTCGTAACTGCAACCGTTGGAACAGCCGCTTCCCTACAACTTAAAGGCTTGACTACAATTCCAGCAGGTTCAAAATAGATGTGTTGTGCAAAAATGTACAAACTGTAAAAACGCTTCTGTTTTTTTTTTTTTTTCCAGAAGCTGCTGGACTTTGAATTGTGCCACATAAACTGTTAACCTAAGATGAACCACCTTTGAAATGTCCTGATCTGCAGAGTCCTTACCTCTGAAAGATATGAATGTACTTTGTGGGTTCTGTCAGAATTTAGAAAGTATTTTATGAATATACAATTACATTTGTAATTTCTTCTAGATTTTATCTCTACTTTGGTTTCGTCTCTTTTTAGTTCATTATTTCTACAGCTGTGTAAATGTAATGAGTCAGTGATTTGCTGTTTGGCTTTTTGGACAATTTGAGAACCGATTTTAGGAAGATAAATATATTACTTTCACAACGACTTTCGTTTCAGTTTATTGTCATAGGCTCTGGTATGACACAAAGCTAGTTCATGAATTATGGAAACCATTTTAGAGATTAGAGCTTATTTTATTGCTTTTCTAGATGTTAAAAAAACCTTTTCTTTAAAAGCTAATAAAATCCAAAGCAATATAAAGTCATACTAACTTTCAAAACAAGGTTTCCTCTATGATAAGTGATAGTCATATTATAGTGGTTATGTCTGCAGGTATTACCGCCGACTACGATGCTCTTGTTTTTTTGGTTTTCACACTTCTCTGTAACAAGTTCTACTACAGTTTCACTGAGAAGTTTATGTAACCTCATCACAGACATCTTCCATTTGAGGCTTTTAATAGTTTATAGGAATGTTGTTTTTTTGTGTTTAAAAAAAAAACATGTGATTTTTAAATCCAACAAACCAGAACTTTTTTGAATCTTTGGTGCACTACAAGTTTGAATTGGGGTAAGGAGGGTTTTTATTTCTTGTTTCTTCTTCTGTCTTTAGTACCGTGCATGGCTTCAGTCCAGTTTTCGTCCAAGTCCATTCAACGACCAGCAGCAGGTGGAAGCTTTGTTGAACCAGTATGCTGAGTAGCAGGAGAGCCAGGGGGAGAGCGGTGGACCACAGCTAGATGAACCGGGAAGTAGACACTGATCATCCTGAAGGCAGCAGCTGAAACCTCTGCTTTCCATAAGAATATATGCCCAGAATCAGCTGGAACTACTTCTGTGTACCCAAATCAACCACCAACCCTATTAAAACCGAAGAACACTGTGGAAAATCCAAATGTTTGGATTAAGGAATAAATTGTTTTTTTCTATCACAGTTTTTTAAATTATTATTATTGATATCGATTTAGAACTGTGCTACAGACTTTAAATCTTATAAAGCTGAGTATTGATAAGGGGTTTTGGTCCTCATGGATGCCTTATGATAGACACTCCAGCACTTTAGTCAAAATGAGCATCTTATATGTTTCTGTTTTTTCTTTTGTCTTTTTACCATTGACTTGGAATCCTTAAGACTGTGGTTGATTAACCTCTTACACCCTCAGGGGGTATAAATAAATTTCTGCCTTACAAAAACACACAAAAGTAAATCACTTATAGCCTCACAGCTATTAGATTTAAGAAGAAACTTTTGGTACCTCTGTAAAGGTAAGATGTCATGAATGGTTTTCTGGTGTCAGCACCATTGTAGCTTTGACCCTGCCTGAAATATTAGGGACAAAATACAAAATATTTTGCATTTTTTGAACCTCGCCAAAAGTTTCTTTGAAATAAACATTGCAAAACACTACCAAAATATTATTTATAGCACAAAAAAGTAGTACAGACTTTTAAATCTAAATGTTGTGTAAAAATATACCAAATTTGGTATCAATCAGATGAATCATATTTATTTTAGAATGGTATTAGTGAGAACTTTTTTAGGCGGAGAGGCCATTTTGGCACATTTATCCAAAAATGTCACCAAACTGTGCCAAATGTGTTTTTTACATCAATACTGGGGGTTTGTTAAAATTACGAGGTCACGTAGCAGCTGGACCCACCGGTGGGTCCGTAGGGTTCTAGGGGTTAAAGGTCTAGTGGAGGGTTCTCATGAATTTTTTGAAAAGACCCACCCTCTCTGCTTTAAAAATAAATGCACATGCACGACCCTGTACCCGCTTCCAAGGGGAACACCTAATAAAGGCGTGCCAGAGCGTGCACAAGCCCATTTCTCCTGGTGCACGCTCTGTTTAAAAGTTTCTGTTTGCATCACACATATAAGCTTACTTTTCAAAAGATTTGCAATTTTTCCCACTATATCAGACTCACCACCGGAAAGTGAAAATAGGGACGAGCATGTAGGACGACCTTACGTAAACATATCACCTGAATGATTGACAATTAGGAGGACCACTTATATAGATAATCCACACGGAAAAAGAACATCCTCCACTATACCTTTAATCCCATTTTAAGGCCATGTAAGCTGCTGACTTTATGAAAATGAAAGACTTGGGTTTAATCAGAATGTTTTATTTGTATATGCACTAGTTCTTAGATGTTTACTGTTTAACACTGAAGCTAATTAACTTGGCATCTGTATCACATTTTACAAAGTATAACAAATTAACAGAAAGGAAGCTATATTTGATCAAACTACCCACTCTAGATCCAGTACCTGGATTTCCTTTTACTTTCCATTCCCTTCTGAACGTCTAGCTTTATACACACCATCAACCTGTTGGCAGAAAAAACACAACAATAAAACAATAAAGATTCAGATCTTTATTCATGTACTGCTGGGTATTTTACAGCATGGCTCAATAAAAGCAAAGTAAAATTTTAACTAAAGGGCATGGTACAGCTGCAATTTATAAGTTGGAGAAGAAAAAAGTTATTTAGTCTGAAAACAGTAATTAATTGATAATTATGAGAAATCTTCAAATTTAAAGGTTGAATGTAAAAGAAATCACTGTACTTATAAATGCTTATAAATGCTAAAAGTTGACATTTAGCAATATATTGCTTTAATTGCCCCTTGTGAGCCATTGTTGTTTAAACACAATGGAAATGTTTTAAGGTTTAACAAATGCTACTTGATTTCTGAAAGCCTCTCTTTCTTTGAAATGCTCATCGTAATGTGACGATACAGGTTTTCTGCGACTCTTGTTAAATTTCTGTTCTGCATTTTGGTAATGTGTTTTTGACTTTTTTTTTGTTCTTTTGTTGTTGTAATTTAAAACGAAAAGCCATATTTTAAATAAATTTTAACCTGAAACGTGTCTTGGCATATGCTATGCTAAGTTGAAGCTTGTAATTAAAAAAAGAAACAATAATTTAAATGAATGAAATAGTAGAGTATTTCCTCTAAAGCATTGGGTGTAATTTAACATCCGATGGTTGCATGCAGAGTGCAACCCACACATGCATTCATAACATATCTGATGCTATTTTAAAACTTGATTGCAACCTGATCTTATTCTGTACACATTCCTAAACTTTACACATATATAAGATAAGGTTTTAGCTTACCTCATTTTCAATTATTTTGAAAGGACTACCAGGGGAGTGTACAGTATTTACACTCATGCATCAATATATCTGCATCTCAATGAATTTACATTTTTAGAAGAAGAAATGTTGAATTATTCAGTTAAAACTTGAAATAAGCAAGAAGTAAAAAGGACACAGATTTTCAAATCAGAACATAAAAAAATACTTAACTCCCCTTTCCTCCCCTTCAGAGAGGCAGTTCTGAGAATTCTCATAAGATTGGCTTAAAAAACCAGGAAGTAAACACAGCCTCCATGCTGCACCTAACTAGTTCTGCACCATACCTTTAGGTTTAAAAGAACAATTTGAGTCTTTGTTTATAGGAAATGTTACCTCCACACACCAAGTTTGACAAATGAGAACAGAGTTGGTTAATTTTACTTTTTTTTTTTATATTATTAATTCATTACTCTCTGACATTTTTTATGATTAATTTTGATGGCTATGGCTTATAGTTGGAAACACATATTTGGCTTTTCTCAGAAAACTATAATAAAAGATTCTAATCTAGATGTTAAAAACTACACAAAATTTAGAACTGCTGTGACTTCTGCTTATTGTACAGCTGTTAAGTAGACATCTACTGAATTAGGGAAGGCCATTAAAGGTCACTGCTGAAGAAGCTACTTGGTGTCACTCACAGCACTGTCTGCAAGGATTTTAATGGAAATGTTATGGAAGAAAAATTTGTTGGAAAGATTAGGGAGGGTAGAAAACAGCCTTAGAGAATTGTGAGGTAAAGCCCATGTAAGACTCATGGTGCATGAATAGAGTCAGTGCTTTAAGAGCCAACAAATCTAGATACGAACAAACCAGAGAGGCACACAATACTGCCGGTAAAGATTTAAGAAACCATCTCATCTGCTAATTTTCCGAAGGGATTGCTTTGCTTGTTGCTCAACATAACCAACCAGTCTCTCTTCGATCTTTATGAATGATGCATTTTTTTGTCCATTTACATGTCAAGTAATCCCAAAGCAAGTAATCCCATTTGCTGTGTCCAGGATTTTTAAAGGTCTAGGTTGAGGATAGTGTAGGGTGCTGAAAATAGCTGTTAATTTCTCTGCAGACCCCAAACATCCTGTAGTCTTTAAAATTTTGTTTAGGGCACTAACAGGCCCCCACAAAAAGAAAGTTTCCATTTTCTTTGCTTTCAATTTGATGAACACTTAACAGTCCCATAGCGCTCATATTAATACCAAGCATATTTCAATTCAGTTTATTTATATAGCGCCAATTCACAAAACATGTCATCTCAAGGCACTTAACAGTTCAACCAGATCATACAGTCAAATTGATTCAAAGTTTTCTATCTATGGAAAACCAGTTGATTGCATCGACTCATTGACTCAAATGCAATGCCTCACACTAAGCATGCTTGTAGCGACAGTGGAGAGGAAAAACTCCCTTTTAACAGGAAGAAACCTCCAGCAGAACCAGGCTCAGTGTGAGCGGCCATCTGCAGAGGCCGACTGGGGTTCAAGGAGACAGAAGCAGAGAAACAAAAAGCAGGTATGAAAGGCGGCCCCGTCCAGGAAACACACAGCCAGGCAGACGACCTCCAAGCCAGCTCCCATGTCAAAGGATGATGTATTTTTCTTCCTCTTTTATAAGAGCAGTCTATATCTCTAGCTATCTACATTATATATATATATATATATATATATATATATATATATATATATATATATATATATATATATATATATATATATATATATATATATATATATGTATATGTATGTGTATATATGTGATGGAAGAAATGGCTTGAATCTCCCTCTCTTTTCCTCGATCTTGTTCAACAACTTCATTGCCTCTGGTATCTGACTCTGAATTAGTTTAAATATTACTTGAGCTTTTGAGATGTTGAAAAGGTGCTGCCAGTTGTAAAAACAGCTCTGATGCAAAAAAAAAAAAAAAAGTTTAAATAAAAAGATATCAACAAAACAATCCTTCCAGCAGCACAGCATTTAGAATTAGAAGGGAAGAAAATAAAAAGGTGAAAATTGATTCAAAAGAGGCAATTCTTAACAGAATATATCAAATTCAAACAAAGAAGACATTTTCTGAGGAAATGTTTTATTGGCTGTAAATAAAAGAATCAACACACAATATATTTTTCAGTATGTAATCAATCAAAAATATACAAGTTTAACTTCTCAAATGTACTTGCTAAAATAAACTTGTAAGGTTTGATGACATTTCATTTTTTTGAGAGACATAAATCCTCTAGTCTCATTCTGTCTCCTGAGCTTATGAACACGTGTGACTTGGCTTGGGCATGTTTAGGCTTGCAGCTTCTGGGAAGCACACCTACATAGACTCACTGTTCAAAGGAAAAACAAGCGGAAGTCTGACAAAAAAAAAGAAAAAAGAATAGGTGCTGAGGAATATTCCCATGCCACTTTAATCAACTTATTTCCTGGTTTTTAAGCTGCCTATGTGTCAAATTGTAGTGTTTTATAAAAAAAACAAAGTGTCAAAAATTGTGATATCTACCTTTTTAAAGTTACTCCTTTGTTCTAACATGCCCCATATTTGACACTAATGTGAAAGGAACTAATTAAAATCTTCAGAATTAAGAAGAAAGTCTGTATATTCAAATAGCAAGAATACCTTTGCTGAGATTAATGATAATTAAAAAAAAAAACTCTGGAAGTGTATATTTGGCCTGTGTCTATTCTTAAACTATAAATGCCTTTTTCTGGCTGATATTAAGTCATCAATCACTAACGGACAAAATTATTAATTGTTTGAGCATTTTTCTTCATCACAAGCCTCTCTGAAAAGAAGCACGGAGGAGAGATTTTTGAGAGCTTCCAGAACAAACCTAAGTAGGAGGACTAAAGGAGAAGCAGGGGAGCGGTGGCCTAATGGTTAGAGCATTGCGTTTGGGTGCTGGAAGTTCTGAGTTAAAGTCCCACTACTAAGGATTGCCACTCTGGGTCCCTGAGCAAGACCTGTAACCCCACACTGCTCCCTTGGAGCTGCACAATGGCAGCTCACTGCTCCCAAAGGGAATGTGTGAAATGCATCTCTC